GTGTTGGGAATACTAGAATTGTTGGAATGCTGGCATTCGGGTTTTCAGCGGTGCAGGTCACGTTTTCCTATGTCACGTTTTTCCCCACGCATCTGATACGTGTTTCGTATCAGACACCCACACTCTTTTACCCATCGTCCGAAGCAATTGTAGATAGGAGGAACACACAGAATACAATCGAGAATCAGCGCGCTTACTTTGTGTCACACTTTGAGAGAGAGAGAGAGAGAACAAACCTGTACAGTCGTATCAACAATTATATATTTATTACTATAGCGTCTTTTATATATATAATTCGAATAAACCGAGGTACTACTATACCTTCTTTTAGAGGTTATCTTAGAACTTCTAGTAGTAGGGGTAATAATCCCTATAAACGCCGCGGGTTTAATATATTAAATAGCTACTAGATAGAAGTTCGGGGTTATTATAAAGTAAGTATTTTAATTTAGTAGTATAAGTTATACTATATTATATATACTAATTTTTAAAAGATTTTAATATAATAACTTAAAGTATTAAGTTAACCCTATTTAATATTAGTATATTATTAGTAAGTATAAGTATATTATTATAATTAAGCTTACTAAGTTTACTATAATAGGTATAAGACTTATTCTCGACTACTTCCGGTTTAAATATATAGTTTAACTACCTTTTTAGTAAAAGGCTAGATAATTAGTTTTAATCCTTTAAAGTAAGCTAAGAGGCTAAATAATTAGTTTTAATCTTTTAAAGTAAGTAGTATATTTAGTTTTAATCTTTTAAAGTAGGCTAAGAAGCTAGATAATTAGTTTTAATCCTTTAAAGTAGCTAGTATATTTAGTTTTAATCCTTCGAAGTAGGTAAAGGGGTTTAGTATTAAGGGTAGTAGCTTTATAGATAAGTGTTAGAAGGAGTTATAAAAAGGGTATATTTAGAACTATAATCTATATAGGAATATTATAATTAAAGACCTCGAAATAGTTTAGTAGTTATATAAGAATCGGTACTAGGAGTATTATAAACCTTATAGGGTAAAATCCTAGTCGTTCGAAAGTAGTTACTCTATTTAATATATTCTAGGGAAAATTTATTAATTCCTATTTAGTATAAATTATATATATTATTTATTATCGATTATTTTCTTACTATCAAATTCGAACTAATATTTATTAGAAATCTAAGTCTAAAGCTTTAGGGGTAGAGAGGCTAAGGGTTAAATATATTACTTAAGGACTAGAAAGATTAGTTTAGTTCTAGTTAAAATTACTGAAGTATTAGTGGAACTTACTAAACTTATAAGAGTACTATTACTAGCGAGACTAAGGAATTAAAGGGCTATTAATAGCTATATAAATACGGAAATCTACTAAATAGATTATAAGACCTTAGATTACTTTAGCTTCTAGTATAAGGAGATATATTATGTTAGCCTAGCTAAGTTTAATAAGCTTCTTATACTAATTATCTTTAGCTATAGAAAGAGCTTTAAATATAAGCAGTTTATGTGACGGTTATGGTCACGAGGGCTGGATGTCACATGCTCGCTTAGCGAGGCGCTAGCGCGCACGACCTGTATTTAGTTCCCAGCTCACTAGAGCTCTCCTTCTTTCCTCGTCTTTTGTCCTAAGAATAGAGTGTTAATTGTTCTGAGTTCTACCTGAAGCACGTCTGTCACATTACAAAAGACCCTTAGTTGAGGCTAAGTATCCCAGGTCTAAGTTCACGTTCACGTCCAAGTTCAGGTCCACGATCTTACGTCTCAATTCTCACGATTTCTACCACTTTCTTGTGCGCAAGAACCCTACACTTTACAACACGACGAAACCTCTTCTTTTTTCGACTTCTCTACAATGGATGCCCTTCAAGTTCAGTCCGCCATCGCTGAGTTGCAAGCTGAAGTCCAGCGACAGCGCGACGAGATTCACTTACTCCGGTCAAGAACATCCGCAAAGCCTAAACCTTCCCTCCCAGACCCTGACAAATTCACTGGCCAGGCTCATAAATTCGACACCTGGCTTCCCTCAATCAAAGCAAAGCTACGAGTCGACGGTACAGCTATTGGAGACGCTATTGCGCAGTTCTACTACGTCTACCTCAACCTTGACTCCCACGTCCAAGCCATGGTCCTTCCACAGCTCTCTCAAGCAGAAGACACCCAAAGCTGGGACTACCAAACAATCCTCGAACAGCTCGCGCGCGTGTACGACAATCCAAACAAGGTACAGGAGGCGGAAGACAAGCTATTTGCCCTCAAGCAAGGTGCTGACTCAGTCCCTACATATATCGCCAAGTTTGAGCGTGTCCTTTACGAAGCAAGAGGTCAGGACTGGCCAGATGTCAACAAAATTTCCACCTTTAGGAATGGCCTTAATTCTACTCTTCGCGGACGACTTTCTCAACAACTCAACCTACCTCGCGATTATACTACATTCATACGCGTCGTACAACAATTAGCAGGCCGCTTCTCTTCGTCTACACAACCTACACAGTCCTACTCCTCTGGCAACCACCACAGCGAACCAATGGACATAAATGCTTTTAGCATCAATTCCATCGACCCATCCTCTCCTCCACGCGCTCGCTCTATTTCCCCTGAGCGTAGAGATCAATATAGAGCTGAAGGCAGGTGTGTACGATGTGGCTCCTTGGAACACTGGGTCAACGATTGCATACTCCGTCCTTTCTCACCAGGACCACAAGGAAGGAAATCAGCCATAGATTTGGGGGATCTACCAGCTGGGGAGGCATTCCCAAAGCCAGTACGAAAGCAGATTGCAAGACCAGGCAGAGTAGTAATAGCAGCTATGAACGACAATGCTTACGATAGCGCGGAGGTAGATTCGGACGATCCTGACCATCCAGATGCCTGGCAAAAGGGTATTTTTCACAATTAGTTCAGATTTTCAACGCTCGGGGCGAGCTCTTTTTAAAGGGGGGGGTGATGTGACGGTTATGGTCACGAGGGCTGGATGTCACATGCTCGCTTAGCGAGGCGCTAGCGCGCACGACCTGTATTTAGTTCCCAGCTCTCTCGAGCTCTCCTTCTTTCCTCGTCTTTTGTCCTAAGAATAGAGTGTTAATTGTTCTGAGTTCTACCTGAAGCACGTCTGTCACAGTTTATTACTCTAGAAGATTATATAGGATATCTAGTATAAAGGGCGTAATAACTTATATTATCTTTTGATATATAATAAAGTTATACTCTTTAATCTATAGAGTAATAGCTAGATTAGTAAATATAGTAAATAACTTTAGAACTACTATAGCTAAAGTACTAGAAATGTAGGTATAGAGATTGTGACAGACGTGCTTCAGGTAGAACTCAGAACAATTAACACTCTATTCTTAGGACAAAAGACGAGGAAAGAAGGAGAGCTCAAGAGAGCTGGGAACTAAATACAGGTCGTGCGCGCTAGCGCCTCGCTAAGCGAGCATGTGACATCCAGCCCTCGTGACCATAACCGTCACAGAGATAAAAGGATACCCTCTTATATGTAACGAATACTCAAACTGGCTAACTAAACTTGGCTGGGTGTTCGCTGGTTGGTATGCTATGATAAGAAGAAGACTATCGGATTGTTCACTTGGAAGTGAACTCGTTACTTGTATCAAAGATGTCAAACTAATATGATAAGATTGATAACTAAGTTGAGCACGAAGCTCCTATCTAATGGCAGACGTGCCAGTCTTATATAGAACCTTCATACCCCGCGTATGGTCCGAGTATAGAGTAGTATAAGCCTCCCTTATACTTCCTCATACTCCCTAGTCACATGATCTTCTGTAAGGAAGAAATCCTTGGATCGCCTAGCTACCCTAAGCGATCCCCATTTGCTATAAGAAATCTGAATGTGCCTGTCGAGGGTTGCGCCTCTTATTATGACAAGTATCACGTGAACACGTGATTCGTGACATTATAATAGAATCGAATATACCCTATAAGTAAGGTAAGGGGTAAAAGAAAGAGCCTAAACTTATTCTACTAGATATATATAAGGTAGTTAATTTAATAAAACAGATAATATTATATAAATTTAACTAATAGTATAGTCTTAAAACTAGATAATAGGGTGGAGAACTAATAAAACTCTTAAATTCTATAGTAAATAAGTAAGATCTTTTCTTTAACTAATAACCCTTACGCCCTAAGCCTTACTATATAAAACTTTAGATAGACTTACGCTTTAAGCCTTATAAATTAACTTTAAATGGCTTAATTACAGACTATAGATAGAATAATATATCTATAACTTAATAAGGTAATATGGGAAGGATATCATTCTCTTGATGGCCATTGGAGGCAGGGTCTGGGCATGTTGGCTCATGAATTGGATGAAGACCACCATTACCAAATCCTTCAAATTTGTCCAGATATTGATCTCTGACTCTTTCTGATGCCACCCAGGAAAAATAGCACGAAGGCTCCTTGTGCTGGATTCCGTGTTTGCGACAGCCATCTCCCCAAAATTTGTTGTTTCTACCATACCCGCCTTTGCGATTGTCCGTAGGATCAACTACGCAGCCTAGACATAAGCCCTCAAACATACGACGGGGGTCGTTCAACATTTGTTGGAGCTTCTGGCCAAAATCTCGACTACACGTTTCACACGCACCTCGTGCTGGTACGTAGTTGAAGTTCTTGAGCCTATTAATTGCAGACTCGACGTAGATACCTCTCTTGCCATGAAGTTGTTGCCGGGGCGGGAACATATAACACTGGTCCAATCCCCTCTTGACCGCTAGAAGAGACATAGCTTTGCACACATCATTGCACTTTGACTCGTATATGGTTTTCTCGATTGACTCAACACACTCCAGGAGAATTGTTCCGAGACTTCCTCTTGCAGAGTTCAACCCAGCTACACCCAGATCACTCAGCTTCAAGTGTTTCTCTGCATAAGCAAACACACATACCTTCCAGTCTAGGTTCAATTCTGAGACCAACCACATTCAACTTTGGATAGATGAAGTCGATCTTAACGGGGACGTTGAATGCGAGGTATCTTGTTACTTTGAGAAGTCCCAAGGGATTTTCAAATCGTCGGCAAGGAACTGCCAGCTTGAGATAATCTTCTTTCGAGAGCGAACTCTTGTCGAGGCCATCGAGCCAAGAGGCAAACCAGTCCTTCAACTTTAGAAAGTGAGATTCGTCAAGGTAGCGAAGGTTGGCCTCAATCACTTTCCACATGTCATCGACAGACAAGTCCATGCAGCGATCATTGAATTTCTCGTGGATGGCATGTAGCACAACTTCAAGTCCTTGAACATTACTCTCTTTAATGTCGATCATTGCTTCTGGTGCGATATGAGACAACACAGGAATCTTTTGGGCGAGGAAGTGACTGTATTGCGCAATAACGTCTTTGCGAACAAAGAATAGACTGGTGATCTTGCCATTGACAAACGCGTTACAGTTAGAAGCGGATCGAAACTGTGAATTGGAGTCCTTAACGTAGGTACGGATGGTGGGGTCGTGGTCGGAATTAATTTTGACTTCTGGGCAGGCCTTTGAATATGGTTATTAGAGGCGGCCAGCGCAGATGATGTTGAGGAGTCTTACCAGTGTCGGAACATCTCGACCTCAAAACATCTCTGAGAGCAAGCAAAGATGAAGCTTTTGGGACTGATCTGCACCCTTAGATGAATTGTGGAGGAAAGTGGTTGACGAAGGAAGGTATCAAGGAAATGAAGTAGTCTGCAGATGGCTAAACCACTATTGAACGACCAGATACTGTATATGTTGTCGTCCGATCTGGATGCGAATGTGGAATTTCGGACGCTATTGAAGTTCACAGCTCCAAGTGCATTGAAGGTAGTGATGGTGGAGGAGGTGGAGAGTGGGAGAATTAGGGGAAGTTGCTTGTTGGTTTAAGTGTTGATAGCAGAAGGCCGAACCGAACCATGTGGGTAGAGCGGACGCGACGCTGACGCGTGGTGATAGTTGAAAACCTTTGGTCGCTGGAGCGACAGGTTCAGAGACGTTGACGACATCAATCATCCACTCAAACCCCTCAAACATCATTCTCATTACACACTCAGTATTGAAGCTGAACTCTTGAGAAGCTGAATTTCAGAGGTATCACCCCACTTGTAGGGAATCTTTCCCAGGTTTCTGTACCTAGAAACGTGAAGCCAGTATTGTTTGTTCTAGCATAGGGAGATGAGATGCGCCTCTAGAATGTCAGTATCACAAAATTGCCTATGCATTTATGGGAATCACAATCTTCACTTTTGAGTAGCTACAGCAGTGTGGGTCGGTCTGGTTGATGTCCAAATTAAAGCTACCCAAAACAATCGCTTAGCGAAACTTGGCAGAAGCAGTAGTGACTTTTTCTGACAGCCTGGACAAACGGCACTAACTAGTTTATTGTGATATTGCAAGAAACCATTATTTCATTCTATATTGCTCTCTGCAAAGTTGCAACAAGAGTGTGCTTTAGTAACTCCTTCTCATGACATCGTTCAATAGTCCAAGAGAGTAAAGTCACGTGCCTGTCACAACACTTTCAGTTCTCTACACTCAAAGCAGTCCAGATGCACCAGTTGAGATCTTCCATATAATTACATTCAGTCGGTTGTGTTTCATTAGACAGAATAAAAGTGACTATACATAACACTAAGGTCACGTTTATGATCTTGTACTTACGTAAACCTCCAGCTGCTTGGGCACCCGACACTGAGCGGATCTCTCACCCGCAACATCCCAAGCATCGCATCAAAGCAATTGGAGCAACACATCTATCGCCAGCACCTCAGGTTCTTTGTTAGCCTTCAGCTAGATGTAAAACTTTTCTCAAATGCGATTGACCCTCCGTCGATCCTGTGATGCCTGTGCAAAGGCAAAGCATCGGTGCGACCTGCAAACTCCATGCTCACGATGTATAAAGCGCAATATTCATTGCGTTTTCCAAAATGAACCTCTCACCGCCATATCTATTGTCCCTATGAGCAAAAGTTCTCTGATCCAAACAGGAAGAGTGTCAAAGGCCATTGATGATCAAGCAATGTTTCCTCGTGTGAATACTGAGAACCGTCTCATGGTTGGTGCGCCATTCCCCAGTGCCTTTGGGGCTGGATTCCTGGATCCCTTCGACTCCTATCCTCAAACTAGTCTTCCAAGAATCCGTGTCCAAGGCCTAATACATCATTGTGAGACCAAATACTCGTCCATTTATTTATACATCGCATGTGACTAATCCACAATAGTCCTATCCAAAATCGCATTTCAATATTATCCTCTAGATCTGAATCCAGCATCAAATCCATTCATCGCTTCCTGGTGGCCTTTGGCTCTCACAGATCCTGCCTTATTCAATGTTTCTTTACAAACGGCATCTCTAGATGACGAACTGAGGGAACAAAGGGGGTTTCCTCATTCGGAGACTCTCATGGCTGATTCTGTGGTACTTGTTCGGAAGAAAATCCAAGATCCTTCACTTGCATTTCAGGATGCTACTATGGATGCTGTCGTGACTATGGCGGCAATCGAGGTACACTAGCTTCGGGTTTCCTGTTTTCATACGTTCTGTGGCTGACAGCTTTCTCAAAGTTTGGGAAAGGAAAATTTGAAGTTAGCAAAATGCACATTTCTGGTGTTATTCGGATGGTCGAGCTTCGAGGCGGGTTGCAAGAAGTGAAAAAATCAAGCCCTCTGACAGCAAGAATGGTTCCATGGTATGACATGATCTGTATCGCATAGTTTAGCTATCAATACTAATATATTCCGTAGGGTCGCAATGCTGGTTTATGGCACACCTCAATTCCCTACTCAAAATGATCTCGGGTTTGGTGATGGTGTCAGCACAACGCAAATTTGGAAGGAGGCTTTCTCGACCGACACAGACACCAACGGTCTCGTTCTGCGATCCCTAGATCTCGAACCCTCAATTCAGGACATTTTTTCACGTCTACGCAATGTCTTCAGCCACTTCTCCAAAATCAATCCGCACAAGTTTTCCGAAATGTCGTCGACCGATTTGCATGATCTCACTTGCTTCATTTTGCATCGGTTGTTACCGATGATAGAAACCCCCAATACCCCTTCTCCATCACTCACGATCTCCAACTGCCTGCGTTGTGCGATATCAATCTACTTTCTTATTATCCATGGACCAACGTACTATTCGCACACGTCCCTTTTAACCTTTCTTGTTCTCCGACTCCAGAAACACCTTGAGCTTCTACCTGAATTAGTAAATGCTGACGATTCCTTGAAACTCTGGCTTGTTTCCCTCGGCATGACGGCATCCAAAGGAATAACCGACGATTATTGGTTTGCAGAACGAGCCTCAATTCTCGCCACATCATCAAATATAAAATCTTGGGAAGACGTGGTTGTCCGATTAAGAGATGTACTTTGGTTGGACACACAGCGATGCAGACCAATTTTCCAAACATGGGAAGAGGTCCTCAACAATGTACTATAGTCTCTCGGGGGACAAGAAACATAGCGGTAAAGGTCTCTCTCGCTGTCCCAGAATTCTAGGCTAATTCAGGTCATTAACCTAGATATCTGCAAATCCATTGAAATTGTCTCAGAATAATCAATCAATTATCTCAATTTCCTACTTGCTTGGTACAATTTTGGGTACGAAAGCTAAAACCATCAGGCTTTTCCCTGCCAGCTCTCTTGTTTACAGTACCAGGAGGCAGTGTGGAAGCATCTGAAGGAATGGTACGACATAAGCCGGCGGAAACTAAGCCTGTTTCGCACAAGTCTCCTACTGTATCCATTTATTTTCGGGTGGGGGTTTTGAGTGGGGCTCGCAGGGATCGCACATCCCTGTAGAGGTCGTTTAGGAGACTTATCCCTTTTCGGCTCGGAGATTTTTGGACCGACCAATCAAATTTATTGCAGGATTGGCTCACTACCTAGGTATTCTGATATCGGCCTAAAATTCCATCAATTCCCATTGATCTGGGTAACCATTTCGTGGGCTTGTGGCATCAATTTGTTTGATCACACCTAAATCCAATTTCCGATGCATATCACGCAAATTTTGGTGCAGCTTATAAGGTGAGTTTCGCACTTTTTGCAACAGAAAGCAGAAAGCAAGTAACGCAAGACTTGTCGTTCTTCAGTATGGCGATAATGAACGAAAGTTCCATAAATTCCACGGCACAAACATCAAACCCCTTCGAGATACATATTTCAGATCATTGTGGTGGTCTCTTGTTAGGACTTTTATCATTCATGAAAACTATTAATATATGGCATTGCATAACATCTTTACTTGTTATCTTTGTAGCGTACGATCAATGTATGTATGTCTTGGTAAATACTAGTACAAATGAAGACTAATAATAGTTTAGTCATTTATCTTAGAAAAAAGGGACCACTGGCCGGACCAAAAGGCAAAATACCACTGGTAGGACCATTCCTTCAAGCTCTCTATCCAGACTTCGAAGCCTATTTGGTACAGTGGGCTAGTGGTCCCCTCAGTTGCGTCGGAATATTCCATAAGTAATTCAATATCACTCCTCGCTTTCTCTGATAGTGTTATTGACCCGATATAGATTTGTTGTCTTGGCCTCTGACCGGGATCTGGCGCGGACGGTTTTCAATTCTTCGGCGTATGTAGAACCCTGTGTAGTTCCGGTAGCTAAAGATTTAAGTAAGTACTAAGCTTTTGATGCCTTGAAAACTTTATTTCCTCGTATAACTCTAACGATCCCAAGTGCAACCTTCTGCCTGGGTGTTTCTGAATGGAAAAGCACACGTCGAGTTTCGGAAAGGTTTGAACGGCTTGTTCACTCGCAAATCTCTTGATTCATACCTTCCCACCCAGGAGAAGGTTCTCTGCGATTATTTCAACCAATTCGTCACTGCTTCCCTTTCGAATAACGGGAAAGCACTCCCTTTCATGAGTCATTTTCGAGAAATCAACTGCGCACTGTCATGTCGGACCTTTGTTGGAGATTACATTTCAGACAAGGCAGTGAAAAAGATCGCAAATGACTATTACTGCATTACCGCAGCACTCGAGCTCGTCAACGTTCCATTGTCCTTATATGTACCGTATAGCAAAGTCTGGCTTGGGAAGCGGGCTGCGGAAGTTGTTTTGAATGAATTCACGAAATGCGCTGCTGCTAGCAAAGTAAACATGGCTTCTGGAGGGAAGCCAGCTTGTATCATCGACAGATGGGTTTTGAATATGATAGAGTCGCAAGTATATCGCGACAAGATCGCAGCTGGGATTGAGGACCCGGAAAAGCCCACTGTGCTGTTGAGGCAATTTTCGGATTTCGAAATAGCTCAGACGATGTTTACCTTTCTCTTCGCATCTCAAGACGCATCTAGCAGTGCCACTACCTGGATGTTCCAAATCATGGCTCAAAGACCAGATGTCCTCGATAGAGTGCGAGAAGAGAATCTGGAAGCACGAGGAGGTGATCGAAATGGAGCGATTGAGATTAAAATGTTGGAGTCAATGACATACACTAATGCTGTGGTGAGAGAAATCTTGCGATACAGACCCCCAGTTATCTTTGTACCATACCTCGCCACCAGGGATTTCCCAGTAACACCAAAATACACTGTTGCAAAGGGAGATATGATTATTCCCTCCTGTTACCCTTCTCTTCACGACCCAGAAGTTTACCCACAACCGGATACTTTCGACCCTGACAGATGGATATCGGGAAGTGCAACTGTCAAGAGCAAGAACTGGCTGGTCTTCGGAACGGGTCCTCACAACTGCATTGCCCAGCAATACGTACAGATGACTATGACAGGCATGCTCGGGAAGGCGTCTTTGGAACTTGATTGGAAGCATCATGCAACCAGCAAATCTGAGGAGATCAAGGTCTTTGCAACACTTTTCCCTATGGTAAGCCTCCTTTCCCATCCTAACATTTTTGTGTACTGACGTTGTAGGATGATTGTCAACTTTCGTTTAAGAAAAGAGAGTGAGTGGGACGCTGAATTTCAGTTCCTGGAGCAATTCAGCCAGTAAAACCAATTAGATCTGTGAAGTGTTGCGGACATATAACGTCGTCGTCTGTTCTTGTTTCGGATTTTCTGATGACGGAAATCTCGAAGTTTAGCCGAAGCTTCCAATTAAAAGACTGTATTATAAGTGAATTAAGCTTTTATATATCCAAGCTGGGTTTCTAAAGATTGGTCCAATTAAACCTTTTCCGGAAACGACGCGCCTGGGCCTGTATCTGATTTTTCAAGTTTGCGGTATGAACTTTTGGTCTTGGTACGACAGTATATTACTGTCCGCTTGCTTCGACGTTACTGTAGTAGTACTGGTATAAAGTAAGTCGGCCCGAGTCTTCTAGCACACCGAAACATCATTCCGACCGGCCCGACCATTCGGGACCTTTTGATTCAGATATACTTAAATAAATGCTTGTATTCGGAAATTATAACACAAATAGAAAATCGTAAACTTGACAAATTAGATACAAAGGGGGTGGGACAGTTAAACCTGGACACTGTTACGCAGATAATATGGGAGAAAAACCTACATCGCCCAGATCCGAGTCTCTGATTCGCTAGTTTAGCTGAAAACCTGGGCCGAGCCGCAATACAGTCAAGGACAGTGTCCATCTTTAACTGCCCACCCCCCTTACAGTCTGTAGGTATTCAAATTTGAGGAGATAAGACTTTTACACGATTTCATGTGCCTGAAAACTACAGTACAATAACATGGGCGTCATTCATCTTAAGTTTTCGGGATTTTCCCAGCTCAGGCACCTGATAGTAGACGTTTGTTAGCAACTGGTACACAATCCGTTTTACCCCAGCTTTGTTTGACGCTATTGCTGCGCATTGCAGTCCACACAAGCTAATTCTTGAGACGCTTTTAGTCTATCGTTTCGACGTCCGTACTAGTGTATTAAGCAGGATCCCACACTCTCAATCCCGATCTCTACTATGGTCACGTTGCCCAATTACCTATTCTCGCTGATTGTCTTCATATTCATTACAATCCCTCAGGTGGAGTATCCGGAAAAGGTATATCTTCAGATCAAGAGTAGGAGTGTTTTGCTAATACCCTTGGTCCTCCTCTAAGACCCGCTATTTAGCAGAACTTCCAATCGACGGACTGCATTGAAAGTGAATTAACCTTTTATATATCCCAGCAAGGTTTCTATGGTGAAGATTAGTATATTTAAAATACTTCCCGGACTCGGCCCGGGGAACTGTAAAATCTCTCTTCATTTCTGATGTTTTCACTCCAATCACATGAGGTCTCACGACATACAAGCTTTCTTAGTGCGTGTTTGGCTCAGGTTATTGGAGTGTGTATTACTCGGTAGCGTATCCCTACATTCCTAAAACTCGACTGTTTTGCTACCTGTAGAAATATACGTTTAGTATACACTAGAGTTTGTACCCTAGTCTAAATACTGTTTAGCTTGTACTAACGATAGTAGTAATTTCTATAAATTTTGATTTTCCATTAACGTGGTTTATCAGCGAGTCGATCATATCACCGAGTCGATCACTTTTTCTTGGCACAGAACTTTACACCTAAATAAATCAACCACAATATATTAAATTAATTATCGCTCTCTATATCTGACGAACTAGATATATCTATAACTTCTTGACAAGTTCGCGCGTTATGACCAGCTTTTCCACAAGTTCTACAGCGCCGCCTAGAAGGTTGCCCCTCCTTATAACCAACCCCCGCCTCACGCATGTCGCGTCGTACTTGCTCATCTACATCCTCCTGAGCTAACATATCCTGTACATCCTCTACTATAAGTGCCCCTCCTTGGCGGACACGAGTCTTTTTAGCCCTACGGCGTTTACTTAGGGCTTCATTTGCAGCGCGAAGGGTACGGACCTCAGCAGACAAAAGGGTCATCTCATGTGCCATTCGCTCTGTACCCTTTGCTAACGCAGCAACTGTTTGAAAAAGTGGAGTTGGCGAGCTTCCTTGATGACAGGCTATACGATTTCGTACAAGAGTTGATTGTGAAAGGGCTTCAGTTGGGTTGGAAGGGGTCTGGGACACCCAGGGGAGGGAGTTGGCACTACACGTCCGAGGGGGAGTTGGAGTCCGTAACCTTACGTCAAGCTTTGAAAGCACTGCTTGCGGGTTAAATGGTACTAGGCCAGCTCCGCGGAATCCAGACTGACAGTTTAGGACTGTCATTGTTTCCTTGTATGCTGCTGTAAAGGCTAGAAAGAACTCAACCTTTGTAATATGGTTGATATGGGCCTTGATAAACGTCTCAATCTGCCGACCATACGCTCGTTTTAACACACTATAGCACCCAACATCAAGTGGCTGGGTTAGATGGGATGAATGAGGAGGTAGTCCAAGAGTAATAATGTTGTGTTTCGTACAGTAGTCTTGGAACTCAGCCGATTCATGACTCTCGTGCCCATCCAAAACTAGTATTCGATACAGACCCTTTGCACGAGCTGTAGTGTGTTTATCAAAGTGCTTTAACCATTCCAGGCCTGTTTCATTATTTGTCCAACCATTGCTTGTCGGTTTCATAACCCAGTTAGGTGGGAGGCCGCCGTCGGTATACCAGTTGGAGAGATGGTTCTTGCCCTGAACTACCAAGAATGGAGGAATACTCCAGCCCTCCCCATTAATACAGGCAATTGCTGTAGCCCATTCCCGATTGCCTGGCTGAACTGCCTTGCCTCTACCACGTCGGTCTGCACGAGTAACAACCATTCTAGGACAAATAACACCCATCATAAAGCCTGTCTCGTCGAAGTTGTAGAAGTCGGAGTCTGTAACCCCATATTTCGCCCTCATATTCTCTACTAGCCGGAACCATGCGCCTAGCACGTCAGGATCTTCGCATAAGGCCCTCTGGAAGTCGTAAACGCGATTAAAACGCGTCTTAAGGTCTGGTTGTCGTTGTACGAATCGATGGGCCCAGAGCTTGCCGACGCGTCTTCCCCCCCGCGATTCAAGGATAAAATTAGCCATATCTTCTACACCAGCGAGCCGGGGCGCAAATCCTCTGGAATCCATATCCAGTATATACCGAATAATCACTTCCTCTTCTAACTCAGTCAACTTATGACAATTGGCTTGAGAATCTGGGCGGTAGGTTCGGCCAGCCATTCTGTCGGAAAGAGTCGTATATGGTACATTGTAGATCTTTGCCGCAGAGCGTTTGCTTAGTTTTTTGGACGACCGAATAGCCTCGATAGCTAGAGTAATTCGCGCTTCTTGAGTTTGAATTTCCATGGTAAATAGTTGAAGAAAACGTGTGTTGAAGTTTGAGGAGGTAGTGCCAAGGAAAAGTGATCGACTCGGTGATATGATCGACTCGCTGATAAACCACGTTACATATGTTATACATACAATAACTCTAGAAGAGGATATTATAATTATTGTATATAGATATATGTTTATAAACGTGTTAATATTAGGTAGAACAAGTAAGTCTATGGAATACGTACCCCTAAAACGTGGGTTAGCGCACATACAAGCTTTATATAGTACATTCTGGATACGGTATATTAGTAAGTTCAGATGGTAATCTTGTTTTGTATTAGATGCACAGGCCAAACGTTCCTTATACTTGTTACTGTATAAGTCGGGATTTAACCTAGAGTATACACCCTTATTTGGTATGGTGCACCCTGGTGCACACTCCAGGCCATTAAGGTCGTTAGATCATAACGGGCTTGAGGCTGCAAATGTTGTGCGTGGTAAGCCTTACTTTATCACGAAGTATATTCTCATCTCTTCTTAGACCGCGTTTCGTTTCGGCGGTACAGTACTAGTACCGGTATGTAACGGAGTATCATCTAATGGATTCAAAACTTGCTCGACGCCAAGAACCCCCACATCTTGGTTCGGCTGCGGCCTTGGTTGAGAATGGTTGCAACTGAAGTATATTTTTTGATATTTAAATCAGGAGAACTCCACTTGAACAGTAGTTGTATAATTGGTGTTGCAACAATCCCGTCGTTTGATTACTGGGGAAATACGAGTGCATCAAGATGCAGTTTTCTTTCTACTTTGCAGTGCTGTGCACTGTTTTGCCGTTCTCGTCAGCATTCGTCGGCTATGGCATCCAAGTCTATAAACCTATTTGCGCATTTGGGTGCAGGGCAGCCATCGAGTCCGCAGAACTTTCATGCTCCATGAAAATGAGAAAGGGCGAAACAAAAATGGCAGGTATGGATATGGAAGGTATGAATATGGATGGTATGGATATGGCAGGTATGGATATGGACAGTATGGAAATGGCAGGTATGGAAGGTATGGAAGTGGGAGAAGTAATGACAACACCGAAATGTCGAGCTGGCGATACTGCGTTTCTCCAGACTCTTGCTTTGTGCATACAAAGTACCTGCGGTAAAATTAAGGTAGAAACTTGGAAATTGGAGAAATACTGGGTGGAAGAGGCGACAGGAAACAAAACGATACGTCCTAAATGGAGTTATGGAGAGGCTCTTCATCAAGTTGCTGCGGTGCCAACTCAGACTTTCAACGAGAAGGCGGTTTTGAACAGTACTGTGATTGTACCATATCTGGCATGGTATGTACAGGTGCAAACGATGAAAGTTTTCACAACAGGCGAGAAGACGGATTCCAAATATGGGTACAGAATATCCCTCTCATTTGTTGCTTTTGAAATCATACTAATTGGGATACAGAATGATCATCCTCGGTGCAGGCTTCATAACTCCAATACTTCTCACAATTCTAGCTTATCTTCCCTTCACGGCTAGTCTTCTGCCAAAACTCAAGCCCTACCTGATCTACCCCTCAGTCATCGGGAAGTTTCACAGCCAACCTCTTCCCTTTTTTCTGAGTTATGCACCAACATTAGGTCAATCACTCTTCATCTTCCACTTCGTCGCTCTGAACGCCATGTTGACAGCGGCCCGATACCGCACCTCTCAACCAAGCGCGTAGTACGAAAATCAATGGCAAGAAATGATGAGCTACGTATCTGCCCGTACCGGTGTTCTGGCATTCGCCCTCTCTCCACTCGTCATCCTCTTCGCAGGCCGCAACAATTTTCTTCTCTGGCTCACCAATTGGCAACATTCCACCTTCATCCTTCTCCATCGTTGGGTTGCGCGTATCATGGGTTTACATGTCATTGCTCATTCACTTCTCGAACTCATTTTGTACATCAACAAAGGCACCTATGCTAATGAATCGAAGGAGCTATACTGGATGTGGGGTTCTGTTGCTACGGTTGCTTTTTCGGCTATGCTTGTTTTGAGTAATATGTTCTTTCGCCGCAAGGCGTATGATCTATTTCTGGTTATACATATTATCCTTGCAGTGTTGGTTTTCGTGGGGAGTTGGTATCATAGTTACATTCGATTTGAGGGCAAGTGGGGATATGAGATTTGGTTGTATACTTCCTTCAAGTTTTGGATATTCGACCGGTCACTTCGATTTTTGAGAATTGTGAAGGTTGGGGTAAAATGGTCGAAGGTCGTGGAGGTTGGAGGAGGTATTGTGGGAGTTGATGTTCCAGGTGTGAGATGGGGTGGAGATCCTGGGAGGCACGCTTATGCCTTCTTTCCGACGGTGGGAAATTGGAAACCTTGGGAAAACCATCCTTTTTCGGTTGTACCAACTTCTCTGTTATTACGAGATGCGTTTGGTGGAGCTGACTCGGTACCGATGACACTGACAGGAAATGATATGGAGAAAGGTGGCAGTCTAGTCACAGCCTCTGAAAATCAGAGTGGCAGAGATGCCTCTACAACCGCCGGTGTGACCTTTTACATCAGGAAATCCCAAGGAATGACAAAATATCTAAGGTCACACGACCGTCTACCTACCCTCGTCGAGGATCCTTACGGACACACTTCGCTCTCATCCTCTCACACTATCTTGAAATGCGACCGACTCGTCCTCATAGCCGGTGGAATAGGAATCACAGCAATTCTCCCTTTCCTTTTTCATCACCCAAACATTAAATTCGCTTGGGGTATGAAGAAGGATATGGAGGAAATGGTCAGCCAGTTCAGTCATGTCTTTGACAGATTAGAGGAAAGGGAGAAAGAAGTGGCTGTTGGCAGAAGAATTGATATTGAGAATCTAATCCAGGAAGAAGCTGGTAGAGGTTGGAAACGAATGGGAGTTATCGTTTGTGGACCAGGTGCAATGGGCGATGCAGCCAGGAGCCCCGTCAGTCAATTAGGAAGGAAGGGGATGGCGATAGAATTATTGGTCGAGGCCTATGGTTGGTAGACTGGTTGAGATTTAGTTACCGTGTTTATTTTGTGCAACATCACTGAAAATAATAGTATCGGGTCTGGCCAAGCCAAGTCTATTTTTAATCTCTACTCATCGAGGTTCAAAGTCAACAGATCTCCTTTATTGAGCACAAAAGAACGTTCATCTTAAAGAACTTCAAAAACAAAGATCGAGGAACAATGTCATTATATAAGTAGTCGACTAATTTCTGTGAAACTCCATCCTCTCCCAATCATACTACGCGCTACAGCTATATAATGTATCTCTCCATATTTTTTGTCGGATCCTCCTTCCTAGGAGTAACTAGAGCATTCCCCGTAACTATCCCCGGTAGGCTACCATTACCTACACTTAGTCTCACTCCAAGTATCGAGGCCCCAATTCCGAGTCTCACGATAGACCCGCATCAAAGGGTTTACGCAGAATTCTCAAATCTATCATCGACGGCCACAATCCGCCCAGCTGGAACTTACCTCCCAACACCTAAGGCAAGTACGAAGGCATCTCCTGAATCAGTGGTGCCTTGCTCGGATCATCTTTGTTTTCCAGGTTCAATCGCGACTTTGATCATCTGCAAGATTCTTGCAGTTTTGTTTTTTGTTTTCAGCTTCATCGCTATTATCTATGTGCTGGTCGTAGAGCTTTGTGACTGGCTCCGTCGACGTTCACTGAAGAAAGACGATCGAATAGATGAGGATATTGGGTTAGAAGCCAAGAAGAATCAACTTGTGAATTTTGCCTGATGATTTAGACCAGAGCCGAAAGCCGAGGGAAGCTATCCGCTGCCCTTTCCTTTGCTAATGTTGTAGAGTTACGAATTTAGTGGAGATCCTAGAATTCAAGTCGTGGATTGATTGTGAATCACGTGAGTTTCCCCCCTTCGAGGTCGTTTGGTGCGTTGATTTTATAGAGATAGGAAATTAATAAAAGGTTTCTCGTACCATAAGCTCTACATGGAGGTTGAATATCTAAGGTAAGCATTTTCCCCATCCCCAAGCTCGCTAATATTATAGTAGCAATATGACTGGTTTTTGGCTAGTGCTTTTAAGGTAGTAGTAACGGATGAGTCGCCACCTCCCCCCCCCACCTCCTTTGTTAACTAAAGATCTGGTGCTAGCAATTTATGGTTTAGGCATTTGAATTGAAGAAAAAAGAATACAATGCAGTCAGAAACTACAACTGTAGGTTCTATAAAGGTCAGAGTACGAGGTAAGTTCTCTCTTCATCCCATTTCAGCTAACCTTCCAATTCAAGTTAAAATTCCCAACAAATAATAAATCTTGTATTTCTTTGGCAGCAACGGTGAACTATGGTACAAGTTTGGGTTTCAAACATATATGGGGTGAATAATCTGAGCTTATAGACACAATTCATCACTATCTTTGATTTGAGTCATTCCTGCTTGTTATTTTCCAACACTGAATGTGCTAGTGAATGAATCTTCGCAATTTGATTGAACACTATAACATCATTCAGGGGAATGAGAGGTGCTGGAGGCTTGAGCATCTGCTTTCTCAATCAGAAGTCATACGCGAAGTGATTCTCTCGACTGGTCCGACCATGTGAATACCCTCACAAACTTTGTAGGCATGTCGTTTTGTTCTCGTTCTTGCTACCATTTAAAGGGCACACTCTCACTTACCGAGATAAACATTGCCTCCAGAACGCCATCGCAACACCAGACAAACCTGCTACTTTCTCAGTAAGTCTTACACACCATGAAGAACCCTCGGTGCGAAGGTTGCGGGAGCGTCTCCTACTTTTTCACGTGTCGCAACTGTGGAACACCACTTAAAAATCTTAAAGATGACCAGTTCCGTGGAGTCAGATTTTACGAATGGGTCATGGGAGACGGTAATAGGAGCATGAGGCTTGAAGACCAAGAAATAGAGTGGCAACTAACCCAAAGCTCATCGAAGGACCTTCGTACCCAACAAGGGGAGCAAAGTAGCCTGGGTGCAAAACAAAACAAGTCTGCCACATATCAGAGAAAAGGTTCCTCGAAGGGCACTGAAAGCTCACTTGAAAATTCCGATGCCAAAAATGGACGAGAGATCCCTGGTGCATACCAAGAAAGTCATAATAACTCTCTGGTAAAGTCCGAAGACTCGCCAGAGGACTGTGGGACTTCGGAAAGACGAGGTATCTTAGGCGCGTTCCAGCGAAAATTCAATGGCAGTGGTCGTGGAGTGGAGCCAAGGAGCTCTGGTGGGAGAAGAGGAAAGTACTTTCGGGTTGGTGGCACCAGGGATGGTATGGTAAGGGGATGATTCAGGAGAAAGTCTCAAATAGGAGACACCAGATTATGTTAGTAGAGCCCTTCGTGTTAATATGCTAGCTATCCTTCTAGGATAATACTGTAAAAGTAACATCCGACCTCACGTCATCTAAGCTTCCTAAAGCTGAGTCTTGTTTCATGCCACTTCCCTAGCCTGCCAATCCTGTCTCCTTGGACTTTGTAGAGCAGGTAGCCGCCCAGTCCACAAGGGGACAAAGTAAGCTGTATATAGCATCTGCAATTAAACAATGTCAAGAAGCTAATATTCCACTGCTTGTAATAACTCAAAGGAAAAAAACATGTTTTGTGATGTGACTGCTAATCCTAGTTCTCCCAAAAACCTGCCACATCGCAATTTGTACTCATTCAACAACTTCAAATAGAAACTCAAAGGATGATATTCTCAAGTAATGGAAGGCGCAGACAAACGATCTAGTAGTTATGGGACAAAATGGATGTCCTTATGTGATAGGGGTAGAGAAATCGCGAGTAATTGATCCACGGAGTTCAATCAATCTATCAGATTAAAATTGGCGTCCAATACTCGATTTCGCACGAGAGTTACTCAAATTATGGGGCTTAGGGTGTCAACTAACAATTTCAGAGGAAGCGCTAACTTCTGAGCATTCATTTCAGAGAGCTTCCTTAATTACCCAGAGTTCTTTCGCTCAAATTATACAAATAATCTCACAAAGTCATGACACGAGTTAGTTCATATATACCGATACTAGTCAAAAAAATTATAAGGGAGACAAAAAATCACTTTATTTAGGTGAACATTCTACGACACGACAGCCAGGCCAGAAGTGCCTCTCAAAGTCATCGATGACGGGACCTGTATGGACTTAGGACCGGACTCTACTACTTCGGTATATCCCCAAAGAGCTTCGCAAACCTTATCTTTGTTGGTACTTCTGGTGTGCGATTTTGGCTCTCAAGGTCTCTACGTTGTCTCGCTCTCCTCTTTCTAAGAAAACAGAATAACCAGAGAATTAGAACTGCAATTAAAACAACGGCACAAGAAATTGCGACGATGATTTCGATTTTAGTTGATTCATCGGGATTTTGAAAGGGGAGGATATCGGGCTCCTGTGAGCTGTGTCCTTGAAAGGGTTCTTCTTGGGACCGCGTAGCGATCTCTGATGCAGCGGGAGTAGGATAGATTGGTAAAATCGATATCCGCCCCATAGGTTCTGTGGTTGAAGTAGGGGTATGGGTACTAAAAGTATTCATACTTACGTTTTGTTCAAAAATTCGATTGAGAAATACAGTGAAAGTTTTGAGTATATAGCAGTATGAAGTTGAGACTGATGAATTCTGAGTGCTGGGGTAGCCAAGAGTGATTATATAGTCATGATGAGCTCGTTACATACGTTTGTTCAATAAGAACAGTACTCGAATATTGAAAGGAAGATGTTCAAGTTGAAAAAGCATGCATCAATGAAATTCATTCCCAATAAAAAGAGCAAAAAGAATCACATTGTTTGAACAAGTAATCTTTCCAGATATACAAAGAAAGACATAAAATGCAATTTACTAAAGCTAATTGTTTGTTAAAACTCAACCGTCAAAGATATAAAAGATAGTAATAATGTAACAAAGAGAACGGCATTCGAGGATGCACCTTACGTAGCCCCTTCTTTTACAGTCATACTCGATATGCTGATAGGTTTCAAAATCAGCGGCCTCTCGTACCCGCCTTCAGATATATCACAAAAGCGGCAGTATAACTAAGTGTTCTACTAATTCAACCCAAAACATTTGTCTAGATATCTATCCTTAGTAAATTAGAATCATGTTATCACCCTTATAAATCCTGAGGCTCGCTTCCACGCGCTACATAAACGGTACCGTAAACTCCGAAGCTCCGAAGCATCTGTAAGCATCTTCTATCAATTTTCAGCTGATCCCTCCTTAGCTGACCAACAATTAATCCTTTAAACAACCAGTAAAGAGAACAAGGCCATGAATCTCATATCGATTATACGATCCAACCAATCGATAGACTTTTCTGAATGAATTGGACTTATATAACCTGAATTTAGCCATGCTACTTACATATACCCCCGGTTTCGACAGCAACTGTGGTGTTCAAATGTCACTCGACGATGTCATCACTCCTCCTGATGAATAAGACATTTTCGGGGATATTCATTTTAGGAATCACCAAAACACAGGTACTGTATCTCGAATATTTCATTTCTCTATAAGTGCAGCTTCCTCCACCCTTCCATTTCATTCTCCACATCTCAATCCAGCCTCCCTCCTTCCTACCACAACCCCAAAACCCAAGAACCCCCCCCCCAAAAACCACCCAAAAAATGTCTACACCTCTCAAACCCATAAAACTCTACGGCAAAGGGCCCCCCAACCCCGCAAAAGTCGACATGATCCTCTCCCTCCTCTCCATCCCCTACGAATTCTCGCCCATCGACTTCTCGGGGGTAAAGAAACCTGAGTTCCTAGCCATTAACCCCAACGGACGACTGCCCGCCATCCACGACCCCAATACGAATTTCACCATCTGGGAGTCCGGCGCCATCATGGAGTATCTACTTGATCGGTATGATAAGGAGGATAAGTATGGGTTTGCGCCTGCGACGGATGATTATTACCGCGCAAAACAGTGGTTTTTGTTTCAGCTTACTGGACAGGGTCCTTATTATGGGCAGTACATTGTGGGTTGTCCTTTATTTCTCTGGGCTTTGTGTCTTTGATGGATGGGCGAGATTGTGTTATTTCTTGCTCGCTCGAATTTTCTTGGTTCTGAATCAGTGATTGAATAGTGCTAACTATATTAGTGGTTCACCAAATACCACCCCGAGAAATTACCAAGTGTCATAGAACGCTATTACAAAGAGATCAACCGCGTCACAGGAGTTCTAGGTCAGTTCCTTGTAACTATTCCTGTAACCCTCATTAACATATTTCCAGAAGGAGCATTGGCGAAGCAAAAGGAGGCGTTTCCCAGCGGTGATGGTCCATGGCTGGTAGGGAATAAGCTCTCATATGTGGATCTTTCTTTCGTTCCATGGCAGGCAATTGTCGCAAAGGCTCTGCCAAAGGAACACTATGACCCTGAGACTTATCCATTGGTGAAGGAATGGTTGGGCAAGATGACTGCGATTAAGGAAGTTGAGGGTGCTATGAATGCGGGGCATTGATGGGAGTGTCTAGTCTTTGGTAGTTAACACATGGCTAAGCCTCTAGGAGGTTCTAGAGCCGACCAGCTTTCTTGCGTCTCACCAATACTCGTGTCTCTCAACTCTCCTAACCCATGGTAGACGTAAATCAGATATAACCACCGTAGAAACCGACTCGTCCTAGAGTATTATCGATGGTTCCTTTGTGCTTGTATCAGACAATGCATTCATTTACCACCTAACTTTTTGACAAAGAAGACTACCTGTCACTTTCAATCCTAACTGAAAATTCTCGTGAATCTCCCTTTGTAGTGTAAAACAATTGGATTCTAGATACCAGAACAAGTTTACGCATAGAGATGAAAAGGAGAACGATCTCTAATATCGTAACTTCTATCCACCACCCTTCACCACACATCCAACCCATCATCTAAATCGCTCAGCACTTTTCCCTAATAACTCTCCGCAAAATAAAAAAGAACAACATCGACATCAACATCAACATGGAAGCCCTAATCCTCGCCACCCTCCTCACCCCCATTACAGCATCTCCAATCCCCCGCTTCCCACCTCCGATCCTCCCACGCCGCGCCACCGATCCCGAGTCCGGCCTTGCGAACGGAGCAATGGATACGGGACCGAGCGTGAGCCCCTTTGGGTGGGCGTTGGTGGGCGTTTTTGGTGTGGGCGTCTTGGTGATTGTGGGATTTACGGTTCGTCTGCGGTTTTGGTATAAGTGGTTTCCCAGGAAGCCGTTGGCGAGTGCTGGATTGAGGGATGTGGAGGGGGGACGGGTGGGTGCTGCTGCTGCTGCTTGAGCGGTTTCTGAGAGCCTGCATTGGTGTCTTATTCTTTTGGGAACTGAAATTATAAAATTTGTTCTATTTTTAGTGTTTTTATGAATGTGATTTGCTTTGGATGAATTTAATTGGGGCCAGTGTGAGCTAATTTTACCGTAACATAATACATTTGTTTGTCGTTGATCAGAGTCGTCACTTCGATTTTGTACGTGAATCACAATGCCATTATGATTATTCATATACGATATACACAGAGCAAAACATTGCCTCGCTTAACCCACAAGCCTCGCAATCCTTAAGCGTATTGAAGTCGCTTTATAAAGAATAGTAGAACTCTAGAAGAACGGATACGCAAGACAGACACTCAATAAATTACCGAATTAGAATGTCTACCTAAATACCTATATTCCCGATGGTGTAGACGAGAATAAAAAGACGCCACCACAAGATTACATTACCCGCAAATCCTACCCTCTCAAAAAAGTGATATAAGAATCACGTAGATCCTAAACCATCCAGCAACTCATCAGTCAATAACACACCCTCAAGAAAGAACTCCAACTCTCCATACTCCTCCCATCCCTACCAATCCATGAAATTCCATTTATCCCACAAAACAATGAATCTACTGCCGAAAAGCCTGCACAAACCCATGTAACCGATCAATAGCAACCGGCAAAATAGCATTTCGACTATCCTCAATCAGAATATCGAAATGTCTGATCGCCTCCTCCTCCGTCAACTCCAGATGAAAGCGCTCCTTGACCTTGATCACCACTCTATCTGGCTCCATCTTGATGTCGGGAATATTCGCGTCTACCATCAGACTGAACAGATTCAGGATCAAGTTGGAGTATTTCCGGAGGGTGGTGTAGGCCGTGAAACAATATTGTTTAAATTGTCGGTATTGCTCCGAGTTAGGACCTCCCATACCGTCAACCATCTCGGCGCAGAGCTTCATCGCGGGCGAGAAGGGTTTGGGATCACGGCCGAGAATGAAACCAAAGTCTGCGTGGAAGAAGTGGCCTGACGGTGCGAGGAGTAAATTGTCAAGATGTCGATCACCCACACCCAGTAGGTAGGTTATCACACAATAACCAGCACAAGATTTGACAAAAGTATCGAGAACTTCTCTCCGAACCCCAAGAGGTCCTTGAGCATCTGGGTTATGGTTTATCAGGTAGGCAAGAACAGTGTTGCCTCTGAACTTGCTAACGATGGATTGCAAGCTTGATGACGGTACGAATTGAGCTGCTCCAGCTGTCGCACCAGTTGCAAGAATCTTATACGGCGACAGTTTCAAATCGAGGTTTTCCTTTTGCAGTAATTGATCCATCAAGATGATGATCTGAATGACAAGCTGGTCTTGCCTTAGATCGTCGCCCGTTTTAAAGATGATCTGGTATTTGGCGGCGGTTGTAGTTTTGAATGTCACCATTATTGGACACAACGAGGACTTGAACACAAGAGTCTGTGTTGAATCAATCCCAGTAATTAAAACTGTGGGATCCAGAGGAAATGGTAAAGGTGGATCTATCGTGACGAGATCATTTTTGGGGTCGGACAAGAACTGCTTGACCTTTTCAACCTTGCGTGGTATGATATCCTTTGCAGCCTTGGTGTCCTCTGAAATCCTAGAAAGGATCGCAACAAGCTCGGCCTGTCGAAGCAGGACTTTTCGATGTTCCTTTCCACCCGGGGTTTTCTCAAGCTCGGTCATAAAATCATAATCAATCTTCGAAAAGAGCTTTCGATATTCTGGTGGCTGGTCTACACTCCTATCATCGCACTCGACCATCAAGTACCAATGAAAGTAGTTTCCCAGCCTGAAGTTTTGAGAAGCTCTAGAAATAAGAAACTTGGCCAGAGAAGAATCTTTGGTAGCGCCTGAATCTGGGGAGATTTGTTCAAATTTGAGAGCTTGTACCAGCTGTAAAAGATATAATTCCAGATCAGTGTCATCGGAGTTTCTCAGTCGATCAACGGCGTATGCTCTCACGGCAGGATGGTCGAAACTTGGTCCCAGAAGTTCGAGTGCATCATCCACATTTATCTCTGTCCATTTCGAAAGAAGCTGAACAGCTTGTCGGTCCTCTCCATTCGTCTCGTTCCAAGCCACAGATTTGACAAATTTGGTCAGAGCCCTCTTATCCCGGGTCAAGTGATGACGGTATCTCCAGACAATATCTTTCTCGCTTTGAGACAATACATGAGTTGGTGAATACGCCATAATAGCGTTTAGTTGATCTCTGGCTTTTGGGTCTGGTTTTAGATCTCGATCCATGGCGCCACTTCGATGATTCCTAACCAGTCGACGGTGTTTACTCTCCACTGGGTTATCCTTTCGTCCCGCCTCCGGATCGTAGATACGAACAAGACGTCCACCGAGAACATTGTCGTCATCATCACCCAAGCCATTGATTCCCGGGCCATATTGCACTTCCGGAGGAGGCTTCAGCATAATGTTGGATTGTGAAGATGAGGTATTTTGGTTTTCAGAGATTGGTGGTGGAGGGTACTCATGGTCGACAAACACAATGGGAAAATCAAATCGAGGCAATTCCACAAACAGCGTGAAATTTTCATCCTCCATTGAGGCATCCGTGCTATCATCGTCATCTCTCTCTCCGTTTGTCCCATTCTCCTTGACACCGTCCAATGTATATGATGTGCCATTTTGTTCCGATCGCTTCCGTTCGAGATTCTTGACGGAGGTGTTGGATGCTGAAATTCGCTTCCTCTCACTACCCCTAAACACCAACTGATCCAACCACTCCACCTTAGGTATCTCGCCCATTTCTTGTTTTTTGAGTAGCTTCTCCAGTCTGTCCATTTCTTCGCTGTCCTTGTTCACAGGTTCCTGGAATCCCTGTCCCTTACGACGGCGTTTTGGGGGAGTTGCAGGCGTGGTAGTCGAATCCAAGCCATCTGCGGCTTTTCCTCGATGGAGGTGACACTTATGCCTTCCCTTCTGTAGCTGGTTTTCGACATCGAACAACGCTATCGTGGTTCCCCCGAACGGAACTGCATGTCCCTGTGCTCCCTCACCCCCAGTTGGCGACAAATCCCATACCGTAATGGCAAGCTGTGAGCTCAGTGGTAGGATGGAGTAGTGGACGGGTAAAGTAAGCCATTCGTTCCACCTGCAAACTGTCAGAGGTTGCCCTTTGGCCGCAAATGTGTAAATTCGATATACCTTCGCTCATTCTTAAAGGCTTTATAGGAGGTCTGAATTGGGACGGTCAAGGGTTTCGAATCGGCCCAGAGCTGTACGGTGACATAGAGGTCTGAGTGGGAACTGCGGGCTGTCTTAGCTTGTCAAACTCCACATATTACTCTAGGAAGTCCAATTTCAAGGTTACCTCAGGTTTGATCCAATATGCCGTAGATCGGGTCTCTGTATCAGCGTGGAAAATGGAGTTTCTGCCTTTTCTCCATCGAGATCAATGCTGGAAGATGGTTAGTAGAAGCTATAGCGGGGTGAATGGAGGTGACCAACATCCGGATATGAACTGGAATATTATTGAGCTTTTCAGAAAGGGCGAAGCAGAAAGGTTCCATTATGGCATATGGACATGGTTACCAGGTGTTTGTTGAGGTTACCTGTGGACCAAGTTGTTGAAGTTTGTATGGGGGACCAGAGCCACTTCGCTACAGATTGTTGCGATACTGTACTCGTCTCGTAGCTCGCGAGCTCGCGTAGGTACGAGTATTCACAGCCTTATGACTGGGCCAAGCAAGCCAGCAGCCACCGTTCAAAACTGCCTGGGTGCTGGGTGCTGGTGCATCTGCTAGCCTTGTGGATGACTAACAAATGGCCGTAGCCTATTTGAGATTAGTGGCCCTCTTTCATGCATGCTAGGGAGCCCCACTCTTCTTTCACGTTCACGGGAAGCGGCACCAGGCGGCACCTCGCCTCAGGAACGCGATCACGAAATCACGTTTTCCAAATCAACACTCCACCTGCACCTTCACCTGAAAGCCAACTGCACCTGCGCTTCTGATCAACTTCCATCTACAATCAATTGACATTGAGGCCAGATGAGTATCGAGACTTTGTACTCATCACCATTTGTTTCATCGACTCTCCTCTCCCAACCTTCTCGCGCACCTTTTTAAGCCGCTCGCGCTATTCAAGAACAGGCCCTCCCCACCACCGCATCTAGTCGCAGTCGCGCACGACTTACCAGCACTCTCCATTCCGCACGACAGCGCTCTCTAACCAACCACATCTCCAACCATCATTCATCATGGGAAGCCGCGCGAAGATGTCAGAATCTCCTGCCATGTTCGAGGATGACTTATATAATGCGACACACGAACCCCCTTCGCGCGCCCAAAGAAGAAGCAACCCCATGTCGCCCTCTCCGGCTACCTCCTCCGACAAAGAAAATCGTACCGCCCAACAATCGCTCGACAAGGGCAAAGGTCGCGCTTCAATGGCATCAGAAAGACCGCTATCCCCTCAATCGGAGCGAAATAAGAGAAAGCGCGGGATCACTCTCGAGAGTGAAGGTCAGGCTTCTGAACGCGAGCGAAGTCGACGAAGAAGAACCGTTGAGCGAAATGATGACTCGGAAGATTCTGACAACTACGACCCCGATCAAGATATCGAGGAGCGAAGAGTTCTACGAAAAGGATTGAGAGACTTGACGAAAGACCTCGCTGACAATCGCACCGAGTGGCTGGCTGTGGGCCATCATGGTTTGAGGGATACTATGCTCAAAGCAAATGAGCTCTCCCACAAAGTAAAACAAACCGCCGACGCAACAATCGATGCACGACTACTGGTCAACGCAGCGGAGCTTTCGTACAAGAAAACTGTTGCGCTCACTTCCGGTGATAATGCCCAGGGTGTGGATTTGGAGATCTTCATTTCCAAATGCCGTGCTTTCATGAGAGCCGCTCCTGCAGATGAGACTGCTGCCCCTAGCAATACTCAGCGCAGAAGGGGTGAGGCGGAAGAGGACGACGGAGATATGCTCAACTGGGCATATCTCGGCCGACACGCTTGTATTCCCAATATTGCTCGCCCTGCTGTACCAGGATTTTTGCTTGGGCCTTTGTCAGTGGAAAAACGCGCGAAGAGAACCATTGTCAGAAAAGCAGCCTTGAAGATCAGCTCTATCCAAGAATCACGTCCGGAAGTCATTGAATCAAGCAATATCGAAAAGTCCGAGAATGCGAACCTTACCTACTTGTGCAAGCAAATTCTTGCTCGAGCAGAGGAGGTAAGGAACCAGGCTACATCTGCCGTAGAAGCCGAATGGGCAGAGAGAGAAGAAAACGGCAACGTCAGCGAAGAGGAGTCCCGGGCACTCATGGACAGCTACGGGGTTTCTTCAGAGGGTGGTATTGAGTTTTTTAAGTTTGTTATCAACCCGTGGTCATTCGGACAAAGTGTTGAGAACATGTTCTATGTGAGCTTCTTGATCCGTGATGGCAAAGCTGGCATATCTACAGATTATCGGGGTCTTCCATATCTGAGTAGGTTTACCCTTCCTCACTGGTCCATTTGAATTCTGCTGACTTATCATGCTAGATCTTACAAGCACTGAGGCCGAAGAAGAAGATGAAGAAGATGAAGACGAAGATGAAGAAGCAGCAAAGAGAAAGAAGAAGGACAAGGATGGGCCAAAAAAGCACCAAGCCGTCATGTCTCTCGACATGGGCGTATGGAAGGAGATGATAGAAATCTTCGAGATCAAAGAGCCCATGATCAAACACCGAAAGGAGGAAGAGCACTCCTCGGTCGGTAGACGAGGATGGTATTAACTTTTAATATTTGTTTTCTTGTTGATAATTTGGGTTTGATGCTTCAGGCGTTTCCTTGGAGGTGGGGATATCCTTTTCCGTGTACGATCAAAAATACCTGGGGGCATGAATCTGGGGGCGTCTCTGGGATATGGAGTTACAAGATGGTAGGAAGGTAGACTCGAACTCACGGTAATACCCAGGTACAAAAGGTGTGATATGGATTGCATTTACTTTGTAGAAGGGGATGGGATTCTACCATGTTTCTTTAGAGCGAGGGCAAGATGGTAGATATCCACCTGGCATTGCCATGATTGCTGAGCAGCGTTGTCCTATCGCACATATCATCATAATTGATACTTTCAGACAGGCTCTGTTTTTTGTATCTGTAGCAATTACCTTATATTATATCCCGAATCTTTCATTTGGACTTCTCGTCTCCTTGGTGAAGGAAGAAATTTGAAAGTAAGCCTAAACAGGTGAGTAAACATGCCTACTAAGATGATGTTCTATTTGATACTCTTCCCTACTCTATCACCTACCGCCAGTGGCGTCTCCAACTGAACGAGACCTTGCACAGCGGGGAAACCCCAGCCAAGCCCCACTTCTTCACTTCCAACCCTCAGCCTCGTCGCCTCGTCGAAAAAAAGTCCATCCATAAACCTCCCAACATCCACCCCTCAACTCACCCAACAATGGGCCCCCTCTAACACCATTACTCCCCCTCTATCCTCCCCCTCCCCCACGCCACGCCCTACACACCCCCCAAAATGACGGCCTTCCTCCCTCGCACCACCTTCCCCACCCAAGTCTCCCTCCCCCGCTCCTACTTCCTAGGCCACCACGCAAGCGGACTCTCCAAAATGAAAACGATGCTTTCGAGAATCGATCTGATCCTCGAATGTCGGGACTACCGCGTCCCACTGACGTCGCGGAATCCGTTGTTTGAGGAGAGTCTCAAGGGGAGGGAGAGGATGGTGATTTATACGAAGAGGGATTTGGGAAGTAGGGAAATGATGGAGGATGTGAGGGTTTGTCTACCTTCTTGATATCTTAAAGAAGAGGGGAATTAGTAAGGGAGGGGGAGAAAGTATATGCTAATTCCAAGAATTTCAACAGAAAGAAGAAACCATCCGCGCCTGGCACGCCCCAAACCCCACCCTCTTCACCTCCCACAAAAGCAAAAAAGACATCAAGACCGTCCTCACCTACACCAAATCCCACGCCGAACACGCACCCAACCTCCTCGGCACCCGCATCCTCATCGTCGGCATGCCCAACGTGGGGAAATCCTCCCTGCTGAACGCCCTCCGCATGGCGGGCGTCAAAAAAGCCAAAGCCGCCTCTACAGGCGCGCAACCGGGCGTGACGCGGAAAATCGCCTCCGGTGTCAAGATCGTAGAGAAAGACGAGGAGAAAGGCACCGAAGGCGTATATCTCGTTGACACGCCCGGTGTCTTCGTGCCATTCGTCCCAGATTCCGAGGCGATGCTGAAATTAGCACTCGTCGGCGCCGTGAAAGATACCATCATCGCGCCGACGACACTGTGCGATTACCTACTCTACCACATGAACAGACAATACCTCGGGCCCGCGCTGTACGCCGAGTACGCGGAGCCAACGAACGATATCACGGTCCTCCTCGAGGGCGTGTGTTATAAGACTGGACGGCTTGGTAAAGGAGGAGTTCCTGATCTCGAAGCGGCGGCGCTGTGGATCGTGCAGCGGTGGAGACAGGGACATCTGGGGAGGTTCGTGCTAGATGAGGTGGATGAGGGGGCTTTGGAGAGGAGTTTAGAGACGGATTTTGGGATGAGTGTTAATCAGGCGAGGAAGATGAGGAAGGTTGAGCTGGCTAAGAGGTCGAGGGCTAGGGGTGGGGTGGTGTAAGGAATTCAGAGAGTGGAGCGGGTGTACTGTATGATATTGTTTCGATATACTTGATAGATTGGGTTGGGTTGTACATATAGATAGCTTTTGTCTTTATTTGTTCTTTACATAGCGCGGCGTTGGGGATACAACTTTCAACGTTAACTCTGTCAAAAAGAGTTGGCATTTGAATACTAGATAGCATATAAGCCTACTATACAATTCATTTTAGTAAAAAACATTTACGCCTCTCAAAAAAGATATCTACACATTTGTCGTTTACTACATCATCTTCTAGGTTCTTACTTAACTATTTTCATATCACCAAACTAACCTAGTTTAAAGTTATTCGTTACACATCGCTGCATGCAACCATTATTAGCAGAAAGCTTTTCGATCTACTTGGAGCCGTATTCTTGTCTCTTGGTAGTGATCTTTGAGTACCTAGTTTTCTGCTTCCTGCTAAGGAGCACGGATAGAGCTACTTTGAAGACCTTCCAGGTTAATGATTCCATCAATTGATAAAAGTGCTCTAGTACGTAAAAAGACTCAATAACTCGAAAAGCGGTATAACTGCGATGAAATCATTTCTTCATTGACCGGACGTATATGCGTTTTCCCTGTTAGAACCCCAACCTAGCTACAGTTCATTGCAGTCTGTCATTCTCATATACATCCACTGCCGTGTTTCCCATACTTCAGTTTCCAGTATACATTCTTTATTTCATTCAATTCACCCCCTTCCCCAATATCAAACTCCGGAATTCCAGATATTACTTGAAAAATCCCAATTTATGTAATTTATGCCTCAATCTTCTTCTTGAGGATATCCTTGAGGGTATCAGCATCCTTGGCGAATCCAGAGATACCTTCTCGGAGCTTCTCAACGGCCATGGCATCCTCGTTGAAGTCAAATCGGAAGAGGGACTCGTCGTCGACGTAGGACTTCTTCTCGAGGTTGAGAGCGGAGGCGGCTGACGCATCGAGCTTCTTTGGGACTGCCTCGGTGGATGCCATCATCTCCTCAAGGAGGGCGGGCTAAAAGAAAAGTTAGTGTTATCGAAACCCCCAAGATAAGAGAATACATACCGAGATAGTGAGGTAATCACATCCAGCCAACTCAGTGATCTCACCAACATTTCGGAAAGAAGCACCCATGACAATGGTCTTGTAACCGAATTTCTTGTAGTAGTCGAAAATTGCCTTCACGGATGCAACTCCTGGGTCCTCAGTCTTGGAGTAGGTCTTTCCGGTGCTCTTCTTGTACCAATCGAGGATACGACCGACAAAGGGAGAGATGAGGAAGGTACCGGCCTCAGCGGCGGCAATAGCTTGGACTTGAGAGAACATAAGGGTGAGGTTGACGTTGATTGCGTGGTCTCTTTGGAGGATACGGGCGGCTTGGATACCTTCCCATGTTGAGGCAATCTTGATGAGAACACGGGATTTGTCGATACCGATGGATTTGTAAAGCTGTGAGGATTAGATTAGTCCAATTACCACAAAACAGAGCGGAAAAACCTACCTCAATGATGTGAAGAGCTTTGTCAACTGATGCCTTGGTGGAGAAAGAAAATCTGGCATCAACCTCGGTGGAAACCTTTCCTGGGACAATGGCCAAAATCTCCTTTCCGAACTCAACCAAGAGTCGGTCAAGAGTGGCATCAACCTGCTCGTCGACTGTGCTGCCGTGCTCCTTTCCGTATGCAACGGCTACGTCCATAAGCTTGGCATATTCGGGCTTCTTTGAGGCAGCGAGGATGAGGGAAGGGTTGGTGGTGGCATCTTGTGGCTTGTATTTGCCGATTGCTATGGTGTGTTAGTGAGGAGTTCGTTGCAAGTGGGTGGTGGTGGGTCGTCTTGGTTATTCAATTCGCTGAGGTCGAAGGGATTGAGGTGGCGAAGAAACTTACAAGCAAAATCACCTGGAGACCACTGTTAGCTGGGATTCCGGGGGATTGATTAGATGGAGAGACTTACCAGAGTCACTGACGACAGTCTGTGGTAATTGTGATTAGCAGACTTGCTCAAAAGTTCATATGAGGGGCATTGCCGTCGAACGGAAAATGGAAACCTCCCCGGGTTTCCGAGGGCGAAAGGAGAACTTACGGTGCCAGAGGCCTTGAGTTGTTCAAGAGTGTTTGACATGATCGTGATTTGGGATAGAATTGGATGGTATGGGTATCTTGGAAGGTCTGGTGTTGTCGTAGTGTTGTTTAGTGATATGCAAGAGGAGCAAAGTTGGAAGGGGGAAGATTTTGTGAATGAGCCACAGCTGGTTAAGACGGATGACAGCGGGGTTCATGGAAGCTCATCGTCATGGTTTTGGCGGGGCAAAGGGGGGGGGATGAATAAGCCGATGGCAGGCCAAGCGAGGATAATCCCACCTCAATCCGCTCTAATCTTCGTCCCTTCAGGGTTCTCTCGCCCCTCTTTCGCTTTCCCGTTCCTCCAACCGAGTGTCTCTATAAAAATGACCCTGAAGATGTATACGGCCACTGAAACGCAGGTGGAAGCTCCCTCTCCCCTCTCCGCCGTCACTAACTGGTGCAAACAGCCACAACCTGCTTTCCTACCAACCTAGATACATCTTCACTCATCCATTCCCGAAGAATACTCCGCCAGATCCCCATATATCGAATCCACGGGATGACATGTCCCTAAACTCTAACCCAACATAATATTCCCTCTTTTCGCCTCTCAGCAATTTCAATTACTGAGTCGCATCTCAATATTCTTTCCTTTTTGCTTGGCAGCCCATGGCCAGGCGGCGGGATGAATACATCGTATTTCCGCTCCACCGTTTTCCGGAGAAGGGTTGTCCAGAAACCAAGGGTTTCGCCTTCGGTCTAGATTGCCATCTAAAATGTCAGCCTTGGTCAAGTATTACACAAACATCACAGGCAAATCACTAATGCTGCGTGATCGTTATTTCCGTTGCCGAAAACGAGCAAACCCAGTTGATCACGTTGCGGATATGGATCATTGATTCGTTGGTTGGCATCCATGGATGTTTGCTTTTCCATCTGAGTGGGTTTTGAGCGATTTCCATTCATCCATCTCGTATGAAACATTAGAAAAGAAGCATCGTCACATCACGTACATAGCAAAATCACAGCAAAAATCCACATCATATCCAGTCAAGTTCTTTTCTTTCAATTCAATTCTTCCACTCATTCTATCCATCTATGCAAGTCATCTCCCATCCCAGCCTCCCCATCATCAATTGTCCCGGGGAGGAAAAACAAAAACAAAGTGTAACTTTTCCGCCCTGCCCAAGTGATCCAGCCCATGCCACGCACGCAATGCAATAGACAAAAAATTCGAGTTCGTTTTCGTTTCATTCATGTCGAGAAAAAGAAGAGTGAGAGGAAAACACCAATAGGGTTAGGAAGAACCGAGGGAAGAGTCTCATCGAAAAGAGGCAGTTGGAGGAAAACATTGGAATGCGGAGATGGAATGCTCTAGTGAAGAACAAGAACAAAAGGAGAGGCTAACTGCAAGCAGTACCCATCATCCCAATTGCTAATCGTTCAGTCGACTAGTACCAAATACCACAAGAAATCTAGTCCTCAGTGATATCACCATACTCCCACATACCATATCTCTTCTCCTTGGCAACCTCTTGCTTCTCTCTCAAAGTCTTGAGGACGTCGCCGAAACTACGCTCCCATGGCTTCAACTTAGTAGGAACCATGGCATGACCATTTTCGATGATATCAGTGTTAATGCTCTCAGTCAAATTCTGGCTCGTGTTTTGGTCGTACAGAGTGACGTAAAGAGTGCCTTCGGGTGCAGTGTAATCAACATTGGCCACCAATTCCTTGCCAGCAGTTGCCTCAGAGATGTATCCGATAGCATCCTCTAGGTAATCCTTGTTGGTTGGAAGTTGAATCAAAGAAAGCACGGCATCAACAGCTTGTGGTCGAAGCTTCTGTGGAGAAAACTGGGCGGCCAAAGGACGTAAAGTAGACCAAGGCTTCTTCTCGCTGTTACCATAATCAACATAGACGATTTCTGCCTCCTTTGCTGGTCGGTCATTGGCACGTATACGAGCACGATACCATTCGCCATCTGCCGAGAACTTTGCTGCGACATATTCTCCGGTCTTGGGTGGACCTGATAGACCTCCCTTGTTGGCCGAGTTCATGTGGAAAGATTTGAATTGCGACATCATGGTCTCGAGAGCAGATGTGCCGGTACCGATGATTTGCATCTTGATCTTACCATCCTCATCAATGTTGGTGACAACGATATCACGGTAGTCCTTTTCACGAGTGGCCGGGGCTGATTCGACATTTGATCCGTTAGTAGGAGCGCTGTCATCCTCTTCAACATCGAAAGAAGGATCCCAGTCGACCCAGAGACCCTTTCGTGCCTCCTTTGCTCGCTTTTCGGCAGCTTGAAGCTCAGTGGCGTTTCCAGATTGCTCGGCTGAGTAGGCGTGAACGGTAGCAAAGCCTTCATCGACGAGGATTTTGGCAAAAGATTCCTTGTTAATATAAAGTGCACCGATAAAGCCGCCGACTTTATCAATGTTGTGCACGTCAATCTCAACGTCTCGTTGAGTCAATCGCTTGGTGGCAAGATCGTGTGCTTCTTGGCCAAAAGGCTCTGCTTTATCGTTTGGACCTCTTGCGGATTTTGGTGCTCGGATTCCGCCAAGAACAAAGTTGAGCTTGATATTTTCTCTTGGGATGAGGACCACGAATCTGGAGCCACCCTTGACGAAATCAACAATAGCTGGAATCTTCTTTTGACGTTGTAATCCTGCTATTTGCATCTTTGCCTTTTGTAAAGATTCGGATACATCCACATATTGCTTTGCCTTGGAAGGCTTTCCAGACCACATTCCCTTCTTTTCTTCCTTTGCAGTTTCCTGCGCAGCAAGAAGTTCATCGTAATTTGGTGCACGATCAGTGTCATCTCGTCGGTGACGAATCACAGAACACCAACCTTCCTGAACAAGAAGTAATCCAATATTCTTATCGTTGAGAGTGACAGTGGCAACTTCCTTGGCATCATACTCTCCGGTTGCTGGACGTGAGCCATCAATGCTCATTCGAACGTGTTTACCAATAACTTTCTTTCTTAAAAATTCCTTTGCTTCGTCTCGGAACGGAGCTTCAGCTGCCTCTGAAGGTCGAGGGCCTCGAACACTGCTAAGATTAATTCTCTTTTCGACGCCTGCTCGGTTTCGTGCGTAAATGACATCAGCGCTGAAGACTCTGGTAACGTGAGCCTCAAGGTTGCCTGCACCGGCTGCCTTCGCGACGTGGTCTTTAAATACACCCTTCTTTCCTGACTGGGCAACCTTTTCTGCCTCGCGGAGAACAGGCATCTCAGCACCAAGAAGTGTCGAGTGGAAATCTGTACATCTTGCCAAGCCTGCCTCCAAAAGAAACTTAGCGATCGAGCCTCGAGGATGGCGAACCGAGGCAACAAGTTGGTTCTGTGGGCTGAGGCCAAGGATATCAACTTTTACATTTCGCTGTAATAGTCGTTCCTCAACGAATCGACGAGCCTCATTGCCATATTCTTCCGCAGGTTGCGTCTGGCCGTTGGAAGGATTGACTCTCTCAGTGGTAGGAGCACGGATTCCAGCAACCAATGTCATAACTAAACCATGTCAGTGGGAAAATCAGACTAGATTTTCGGTAGCATATTACCTTGGATATGTTCCGTGGGCGAGATGATCAAGCGCACAAGCATGCGGTCGCCGCTCAGTACGCGCTCGACCAGACCATCCACAGTTGCTCCCTTGTAGTTGTCCAAAAAAGCTTGCGCATTGCCCATGTCATGTTGAACATTGATTCGTCCTCCAGATGATTGCCATTGGCCTTTGTCTTCGCTTCGAGCAGTGGCTTCGAGTAAACGTAGTCTGTCTAATTGCGAAAGAGCGTCTGGAGAGTCTTCCTTGCGGCCAGCATCGTCTCTAAGCTTGAGCCAGCCGTCCTCGACCATCTTCTCAGGTAGTCTAGTTCCATCATTCAGGTATACAATGCCGTATTCGCGCTTCGTGTTTGGAATGGTGTAAAGGACTTGGAACTGGACGAGCTTTCCTACGACCAACTTTCGAAGCGCATCGCGTGAATCGAAAGCCCATTGTTCATCGCCATCCTTTTTAAGATGCGGCGACGTGCAGTATGCCAGGGAAAGAATTCGTTCGCGATCAGGATTATCGACGGCGCTCAAGACGAGGCTGTCGCCGCTTAGGACGGACTTGACCTTTGCTTGATTGAGAACCATACTGTTGTATCGAGCGGGAGGGACGTTGGGGCGGGGCGAGTACACGGGTTTGGGAGGAGTGGTAGGAGTATCTGGACGAGCTCTAGGGAATGGGGGGATCAGATTAGCAATGTCTTGGGAAGAGAGCGAAGGTTGCGGATTGCTCTTGTCAGAATTGCTGGTCGCATAGCCAATCTTGACATCGCGAACGCCGCCCATGATGATGGTGTTGCTGTGTGGTGATGGCCGTCGAAGCTCAAGTTTGAGTAGAGGGTGGGAAGGAGGATGAGGATGCCGTATGTAGCGGGAGCTTGTGGGTGGTGGTGTAATTGTAACTGTAGTTCAGGTGAAAAGAATGCCTGGAGGGAAAAACTGCTGGTGGGAGGAGGTGGAGATGGAGGTGGATGTGGATGTGGATGACGATTGCGGAAGAGGTAACGAGCAATCTCCCAGAGTAAAAGTATTGTTTGGTGAGGTGTGCTTGTCTTGAGCTTCTTGAGCTTTGAAGGTACCGGAGGTAGGTGGTTTCCAGATGCAGCGTGCGTGCTTTCCCAAATGGTTGAGCTGGTCAAGCTGGCGATGGATGGTCCTAATTTGTAGGGCAATCGCAGCGACGGGACAATGAGTGCGAGTTGGTGGTGAATTCAGATGCCCCCTCTACCTGCTCCTGCTCCTGCTCCTGCTCCTGCTCCTGCAATTTTCCTTGGACAGCTCTGGGAAGGAGCGACCGACCATGGCCACCATCTCCATTGAACCCAGAATAGCAGCACCATCATCATGTATGTCGTGTGCTAGTCGGCGGCGAAGAGAGAAAAAGAATTGATGACTTACCGCTGGATCCAAGAAGGCAGAGATATCCAATGCACCGATCTGATAGTCACAGCTTCAGATTTCGTGGGGTGATGGTCGGTGAGGTGTTTGGTGTTGAAGGGACAGATTGACTGAGAGCTGGTTAAGGTCGTCAATTTGTAAATCGCCAATAAATCGGCCCTTGTTTGGAACCCCGCTGTTGCTGTTGTGTGGGGGCACTAAGCCAGGGTCCCCTGCCTCTTTTTTTAGCCTGGTAGTCTTCCCAGGTTGGTGGATGTGGACTTCACCCATCTCAATAAACAATCCCCTAAGCTCATCCTACAATACATTTGCATATTCCAAAGAGTTGAATGATGGTACCAAGTAGTGGACTTGTTTGTCTGATGCATATTACTTTCTTTGATAATTTTATGGAATAATGGTGACGACATCAAAAAGTCTTATTCTCCAATTGTCGGTAGCGAAACTTCTTACATCATCTAGGGCAAAGCCTCAAAAGGTTCTTTCGGCATTTGGGTACTTGAACTAGAAATTGTAATGCATGAATACTACCCACCTGCGAATATTCAACTCCTAAATACTATAAAACAGTCCCAAAAATGGATTGTATAAAGATGAATCAATCAAGCAAACTAGGCGAGTAATCATTGCAGAGCATTTCCCAAGAGCACTTCCTCGCTTGTTTTACAGTACGGATTATACATTTTCCCAAATCTCCCTCCCTTATTGTATGATTCCGACGTATACTGGAATATGGTCATGCTCAATATATAAATTCCGCCGACTAAAGAGGCCACTACACCGCTAGGATTTGGGATAACAGAGGCAGACTTTTTTCTATTATTCATATCACGGTTAAGAAACGATTTTAATGCTGTATTTTAATGTCAAGAGTTAAGAGACATTGCGGGTTTATATGTATGGTTCTTTTTCGTTTTACATACGTTGTGTTGCTAGCTAGTGTTTTGTCCTTTCTGTATTTGGCTTTTGGCCATGACTACCTGTCATTTGTCATTAGCTTGTTAGAAAAGTTTACATGAGGGCTTGATTAATACGCGATGAACATAGCTTCACTACATATGAATGAAATGCAAAATATCTCACAGTGTGTAGTTTCTGTAAGACTTACTTGTGAGAGACCTCTGGCGAGTCCTATCACAAGCTCCGAGTCTGTGCAGAGACCAAGAATGGTTTGTTTATGAATGAGCTGTTAATTTCTAGAATACTAGTCTATTTGACTATGTTGATTACGGTGATTAACCTGACCACCTAAACACTAAATTGCTACTGAAATATCTCTCTCGAGCCTCGTAGTACCCTGCCATTTATTACTGGCCTTACTAGTGAGCTAATAATAATAAAAATGTGGGTATTTACTGGATTGCAGGTACGCTGCTCTGTAACTACATCTCAAAAGCGGTGGATGGTCGTTAGAAGTAGAAGCTCTTGGGCCTGAATTCTCCATCCTGTACTCTATGCATGAAACCAAATCACAAACGTCACACAAAGTACAAGAAGTAGTAAAAGAACTAGTCAACTCAGAATTAAGTCACTATAGTTGCAAGTCCCAGGTATTCATGTTATGCTACAGCACTGTCGATACTGTATGCTTCGAGTTAGTAGAATATGATTCGGCGAAGTGGTTCGTCGTGATAATTGTCAACTATAACGGAAACGCTGTAGCATGATTTTGTTGGTACGGCCATTTGATGGCGGACGGTAGCATCTTACACCGAACTTTCAGACGCCATGGCCGCTCTCGCAGTCGCTGATCCTAATATCACTCCGGCCATGCGTTCTGAATTCCGGTTTGCCACCTTTGACACTTCAGTCAGCCCTCTCTTGGAGCGACGTCACTTCGGCAACCCTGCAGTCAGCCTGACTGCCCCTCACGGAGTTCTCTGGGCCAAATGTGGCCCTCCATTGAGACTTCGTGACTATGTCTTCTATGGAACCCTTCCCCCAGGAGAATATGTTCCTCTCGAGCTTGGGACCAGTCAGTATCTCTTTGTACCATTTGCTCAAGGTGACCCAGATCAGCGGGGCCTGCTTTGCGTCCGTCAGCTTGCCAGTGCTGAAAACCGAGTGACCCCTTGGATCGTCTACAATGTGTTGACTGAGTCCTGGGGTACAGTCAAAACCACTAAGAATATCATGGCTCCGGCAATCGTTCAGAGAAACAAGCGAATCGGTAAGAAGACTGATCTGTTCCACTACATCTATGTGGAGACCTTCCCTCTTCCAATCAAACGGTCTCCCAAGTACGTCCATGATGAGGCGAAAAAGCGGAAGGCTGAGAAGACTGCACCTAAGCCTGATTCTGGATCAGGTTCTGGGTCTAAATCAGGATCCCCCATCGTACGGTAACATCTAGGGTGGCGCAGACAGTAAAGTACAGTACACTGTCTCACGGTGGTAAAATTGAGAGAGGCTACACTAAAGTAATTTATCATTATTGCTCCTTTCTAGTATTGACCCAAATCCATTGCCACAACTACTTTCATTGTCATAGAGTTTTCCGCTAACAATCCAAGTTGCTTAACACTGTTCAAGCAAGTGAATACTTGGCATTGATTATGTGATTAAAAGGTATTTGCTGCCGTTCTATAGTAAACGTAATCCCTTTCAGTACAATGACCTCTACCAGAAGTGATCTCTAGCGGGTTTAGTTCTGCCGGGGTTAAACAAGCTATTCCAAGATACCGAACGTAGCAGAGGGAGGTGGTTGGTAGACTACATAAGGCAAGTATCTGCCTGTTCATACGTCTTGTTGAGGCGGGTGGCTGCAAGTGCGTTCGCTGAAGGGATTATTGGTGCACGAAAATGATCTTGAGTGAGACTTTAGAATATTTTACTGTCGAAATGTGAGAATATGTTGCCAGCTTGCTTGCAACCCGAATTATATTACATGAACTCGGTTGAGGTGCAGGTACAGCCTTGGAGGTGCTTCTCGGACACGACTTCCTCATGAGAGACAGTAACCCTTACGTCGGGTATGGCTGTTGTAATTGTAGATGTGCTCATTATGCTCAACACAAGCATTTTAGCAAATGATCCTTACGTCTGGAAAATATACTGAAATCCCCTTCTCCTTCCGCTTCCCACAATCGTCCCTCGATTCATTCTATTCTATTATATAGGCTCGGAATTAGAGTGACTCATTATAATGAATCTAAGGAGTCCAGTAGATAGTGAGGTGAGATGCGGCGTAACGTTGATATTTGAGAAAGAGAGTGAGGGAGATACTACGAAGGCGGCATGATAGGGTGGTTTCGAATTGCATTCGGGCATGACTTTTGTGGACATAGGAGAACGGTACCTATCTCGGGCTGCCATTGTTTCTGGCACGTCATCAAGTGACAACTATACGATTTCAGAGCCCCCAATGCAGAGAGCGTTTAGGATCAACGCGAGAGAGCGTGACCACACAATCAACTGATTGACTCTCGTTGTTTAGTCCCCCGAAATTGGTGTCGTTGCCTTTTCGTTTGTTTGACTTCACTGGCCTCCAATTGGATCTGTTCAATAATATTTTCCATTCCGTGTTTACAGCTGCGATGCAATGAACCTTATACCGGACAAGCAACTAACCGTTCTTGAACTGCCTGTATTGCAAATCCCCGCCAGTAAAGCTTTGCTGATCCTCTTCGCGATCTTCATAATTCTCCATGGTTCTCCTTTCTGCACTCCAGCTTTCTGGTTCGGTATTTCCCCGCCGCGGGTTAAATCCATCTGTCAAAACATCACGGGGCTGCTGATCCTGTTTCTGGCAACCGAAATTTCAGACTCGATGTGCTGTGTTTTGATCACTTGGTTGCTTGTGAGTTGGTCTGTTGCCGAAGCTTACTTGTTCGAGCCAGGCGCTAACCCACTCAAGCTTCGCTCCCGTTGAAAAAGATCGCCAAGTCAAACCTCGCTTGAGGGGATGGAGGCGAACCTGCAACACAGCCCCCTGAAATGAAGCCTAGAGAAACAGACTTGGCAGTTTGAGCCTCAAACTACCGACCTTTTGTCCGCTCGGGCAAAAAGCACATATTTGAATAAAAACAACTGGGTATCCTTTTCATCTCGTCTTTTTCTCTTCCCTTTCTTCTCTGTTGCGGGAGTTTCGCATCTTTGTCAATTTTCTTCAAATTCCCCGTAATCATAAACCTTTTCTCTTCTTGACGCTGTGCGTTTTTATTATATCCTTTTTTTATAAGTCAAGATGGCCATACTATTGAACAACTGGACTGGTTTCCTTTCTTTCTTCTTGTTTGCGTTGTTAGCGATTCCTACAGATGCCCTTCCTCAGAAGAAAGTTGGAAATGGTGGAGGTGGAGGCGGAGGAGCAGCAACAGCCGCTGGAGGACCTCCTAAATTTTCCAAGGCAAAAGATGGATCCATGATTATGGATAAGACCGTAGTGATCAAGTAAGTTTTGGTCGACTAAGCACCTTCGAAAAAGGTACATTCTGACTTCCAATTCACAGTGGCCTTAATATCCGATACAAGATTTCCGCACCTGCGGATCAATTCACAACTGCCTCTGGAGCAGCTGGGGGCGCCCAAACCGCCAACGCAACTGGCACAGCAGGTCTCAACGTTCTCCTCCATGGCGATGGTGGTCAATCCTTCCAAGATTTCCCCAATCAGAACGTACAAAACAACCTCATGGGCGTCGTAGTCCTCGCACCAGACCCAAACCTCTTCTGGGGTGGTGGATCCGGGCTCGAACGAACTAACGGAGTCGCACATTCCGCAGCTGTCAACGATTTGATCCAGAATCAACTTCCTCAAGATGTCGCATTTGATAAAGCCAACGTTTTCTTCACTGGTGTCTCAGGAGGATCCCTCATGCTCTCCGGATTCTTCGTTCCAGCCTTCGGCGCACAATACAAGACAGGCGTTGAGCTCAACTGCGGTGCTCTCGCACCTCAAGTCGCAGTCGTGGATGCACCTACCATGATCGCCAACACTCGAATCCATTTCCAAACCAGCCAGGATGAATTGACGCTCCTGCAAAAGTCTATCCCGGCGTCGATAACAGCATATGAAAAACTTGCCAAGGATAATGGACTCGATGCCGCTGCTATTGGATCGCTTCAGACTGTTGATAGTACGCCTGTTGGAGGTGGACATTGTGGCTTTGATAGCAAGGATTTTGTTAGTGGTGTTCAGTTGATGGCCAGCAACTATGCGAATGTTATGTCGAAGAATGGCACTGGAGAGGTCAAGGGTATCGGCAATGTTAAGAAGACCGTTGTGGGCAATGAGGCTATTAAATTTGTCAAGGGCAAGAAATAGATACCCGGTCCGTGAAAGTTTTAGTTGTTAAATCTGTAATAGGTTGGGAATTGGATATTAATACTTGAAGAATGGGTTCTCCTGTGTCAACAATGCAGTTCCTTATGTTATGATAGGTTTGTTTTGATTTTCTGGCCTGTTGCTCAGAGAGAGATATTCAAGAAGCACCAGCGCGAAGGGTTGAGGTTCATGCATGAAATGTGGCTATTGAGAGACTTACTTGGTGGGTGGGTATATTTGGTGATTGGCGTACCTTTTCTGCTGCTGCAAGCTCGAAGCAATTGTCAAGGGGATTGCTACTACTCCATACAAGTTGCGTCCCTCGTTCTTACATATCCCCATACCTAGGTAGGTAAAATTGACGATGTAAATCACGTGTATAATTCCTGCAAATCACCTGACTCTCCCCGCTTGACTTTTCTACGGAACCGAGCTAGCTCCTTCCTTGAACCGAAAGATCTGTCTGGGGGTGTTACCTGGACCAGCGATCGCTCTTCCTCTTTTGACTACCTTGATCGCGGCCTGGACATGGCGCGAGAACGGGCCTAGGGTTCGTGAAAGGTACCACCCTTCTTCTTCTAGAGTATAAATCCCACCCCGGCCTCCTATATATACACTTTTCAGAGTCGAAGTGAGTTTGCGGGGGTAACTCATCCGTAGATAGTATTTTCATACTGTGGTGCGGAGGTAGGTATCTTAGCGAGTGATTCCTCGTTTCTCACATGGTCATTTCTCTCAATGCTGAAGTCTACTGGCGACTATAGTTCTGGAGACGAGAAAGCAGCTCATATCTTCCATCCAAAGCTTTTTCTAGTATCGTTTGCATCCCTCATGTGGAGTAAGGCTGTAGTGAATTTTAGAGCAAAAAGTGGACATAGTTGACGTCGAATTATAGTGGTATATAAAGAAGGCAAATCGCAGACTCGTTGTGTCGTTCATGGTCACAATTCATGTAACCGGGAATGCCCAAATCCAAATGCTTCAAAATCAACCTGGAATACTCGTAACTCATAGCCATACATTGGCAGCCCCAACAAAGATTGCAACCAGCACTTCCGTCTTTATCCATACCTGAACATCATCAACACTCCCCGAAAGTCCCGGCACTGGAGGGCCCGTTGTGTTGATACCAGAACGCCCAGTCTGCGCCGCGGGATTTGCTGTCTGCCTCGCTGAGCTGGGGAGAGGCGTTTGTGTAGGCCTCACTGGTTCAGTCGTCGTTGCTCCGACAGTCGGCGCTGTCGCTGCCCCTGTTGGATGAGCAGAAACACACGAGCATACATCCAACGCGGTCAGAGAAACTTGAATTGCCGTTTGAGTGCCGCAAGCCTCGAGGACGCAACCGATTGCTGAGTTTACCATGGCACTATTTGCCGAAGATGAACATTGACACCCGAGATCGCTTCTTTGGCATCCTACCGCTGATCCGGCCGAGAGGATACATGATGACTGTGATGTATTAATTGAAGAAACCGAGAAGATAAATTTCAAGTAAGACAAGAAACTCACAGCACACTCAGGAAATTTGGAAACTTTTGATTCGCACACATCCTGAGCTACGGCACTCCCAACAATACGCAGAATGATAAGGCCAATGGCGTTCTTCATTCCCATAAGCAAGCTAGTAAAAAGCTATCCAGATCTCTGGATACGTTGATAGAGCAACAGGTAGAGAAGCCCCAAGTACTGCATCAGTGATTCTCTGAGGCTTTGGGTGCGACCTAGGAAAGTATCTATATTATAGAAAGGTCTTCTCTAAAATCAAATTTAGTTTCGGGTGGGATTTGATCCGCGATCAAACAGTGGATACACATTCCACATATCCACACCATAGATTTCTCCGCCTGGCACCTCATGTTTCTCTAGTCCGATGGTTGATTTACTTTGCTTGGATTAATTACCTTGTTGGGCTTAGTTTGCGTTCGAGGACGCTGCTCTCGGGCGTGCTTTTGGTGGGAGGACGGACTGCGTGGACAGTGATGTTTCGGATGATAGTTTAGACTGTGCTTTTGGAACTTGTAGATCGGTGATCATGAAATCATGTAAGTACCGTATAGTACTGTACCTGTTATCTAGGGAGGGAGGTATCGTTGTTTCTTGGGATATTAGACGAAATACTCATCCTATTTATTTTCTTTCTTTTGTAATCTTACCATTATTCGCGTAAAGGTCATACTCAATACAACCCTATCATCGCACCAAGTTTCATTATAAAACCGAGAAATATCGAGAGAACACAAAACCAACTGACTTGAAATCCTCTAAAGTGAATTGATATCGATCCGGACACGACTATACTTCTGAAGTTGTTGTTGCCGTGTCTGGTCAGGCCGATATACTAAAAATAGACCTTATTCTTTTCCGGACGGGAGCTTGGGAACCCACTGGGCACTACTGTACCGTAGCTGGCTGGGTTTTATCTAGTTTTCGAGTATTTTGGGAAATGGCTTGGTGTTCAAGGGTCCTTAAATGAAACTACACTATTTACAAGTTGAGACAGGTAAGTCTAGATGGTTTTCCTCGCTAATGTTTCGAAAGGAGGGGTTGCTAAAGGGACTGTGTATAACGGCTGGAAGTTCTTCATATGGCATTTTTACCTGAAATATTGAGGGCTATTTTGCATGATCACCAGGGAATACTTCTCTGGGGAGCATTAGAGGAGTGTAATATTAGACATATATATTCAAACTTAAGATACTTGGACCTCGATAGACATTTTGTATATTTCGGTTATCAACTGTGACTTTGAAATCTTCAACTTCACACAAATAATTGGCAAGACCGTCCGATCTAGGTTTCTAGACAATTCAGTCACTTCATCTTTACTACATTAGGCGATTCAGTCTGATTCAAAATTGTGATTCAGGTTGCGTTTGGTCGCTAGTAGAGGCTTTTTTAGATCATACCTCTGGCGTCTCTTTGCGGCCGTTGTCTACTATAGACGCTTAGTGATATGAACTTTCCATTAACATGTTATGTACGAGGCCTAGCATGACCTGAAATTAGCGTGAATTCACTGATGTTAGTTATAATCTCGCCCAAGTAAATCAGATTTACAAATCATACTAAACTAAAATAATTAAGCCATTAACTAGATTATAAGAGCAAAATAGGTTACACTTTAAGTGACTTGTTAGATTGGTTTTCGCCTACCAATTTCAATTCATTTCTGTTTCTCTAAATTGTTGAAATACTGAAATTAGTTACTCAATCATAGCCATAAAAGACTCCCGTTTTATTATCTTATCATGATTCCCACGGACGAGAATGTATTCGACCAATCTTAGAATGATATGGGATTTCTGATTCAATTACTCCAATTACTGCCCAACTTATTTAGAGATATACGATGGTTCTAATTTTAGTATATTGCTTTCTTTGCCTAATCACTTGGATGGCAGTATAGAAATTGGTCCTGATGGCGGAGCTTCAGGATCTATAAATTCCAATTGCACAGCACTATCCTCATAGTACCCAAACAAGGTTGCCAATCCCCCTAGTCCAAAGTCTCCAACCTCTCCAACCCAAAGAAACGACCTTCGCTGAAGAGAACCGATAACTTCATCCATCGTATCTCGAAACTGGGGGATGGATTTGTATTTTCCGTAGGGAATATCTTTGTTCTCGCTATTACGATCGTCCATGCCTGCTGCTTCTATTGCGAGAGCAATCCTCTTGCCGTCATACATCTCTTCCGGTGTACCTGCAGCATTGGGCCACTCTCTCATTACTTACAGGCCTCTTGTCCGGGTCGAAGCTTCTCGTGCGGTGAGGGTAACCAGCATTGTTGAGCTAATCACTCCCCTAATTTGGAAGAAAGACCTCGGTTCAAGCCTTTCGGGCCCTTGGGAGTTCAATTTGTATATTTTGATCAAGGTCTCTACTAAGGACAAAATTTCGTTGAGGTAATATTCCAGGTCGTTCGAAGGCGGATAAGAAATCAAACCAGCCATTTTGTTGTCGACGGCAATTCTTGACCCTAGGAATGATATTCCCAAGGCAACGGAATTCAAACTTTCGCGCAGATGAGTTCGCTGGGTCGTGGCTTGTGATATATACCAGTTTCTAAGCGGTGGAAAAAAAACGCTTGTTCCACTTGTTCATGGGACAGTAGCAGGGAGCGCAGTTCTTGTTGCATTAGAGCTGGAAGTTCCTCGTATGCTTTTGAGCTATCTTCAATCATTGCCAATACAAAATGGTATGCCCAATTCGTCAATTTTGTGCAAACGGTTTGAACTTCCCGGGTATTGGAGAACACCGTGGGCACTAAGCGTTTCTTCCCAATTTGTTCGTTAATTGTGGTTAACACCAGAGATGGCGTTGAGAAATTGTTCATGTAGCTGTAAACTATATCCAAAGAAGAGAGCAGCCCTGCAATATCCTCGTCGACATCTGGCACCTCAGCCACGTTCATCTTGAAATTGGATCCAGCAGTTGACTCGTTTAGGATAGCAAGGCCAGATTTCAAATGCTTGACCCCAGTTTCGAATCCGCCCCTTATTCCTTTAATGGCGTAGAATAACAAGCAGCATGTGAGTATCATCTGGCGCGATTTCTTACTGGATGCGAGAACAAGTTTTTGAACTGCTCTGATGGCCTTGTTGTAATGTCGAAGAGAAGCTGGATTTTGATCGGCACTCATAGATGCGCCTTTGAGGTTCGATCTTCTACACTCATGGAAAGATGCCAGCGCTACCATCGCGTAGCGTAAAACTGGTTCTTCATGGCCTCAGGAGAGGATGGAACGGTTCTAAAAGTTGAAGTTCGAATACCCGCCAATATCGGGTATGGCTTCTGACCGGAAGTATTGGAAAAGTCGTCGTTCATTCTCACTCCCCGGTACTTGAAATGGGATTTCACGAGTTCTTTTCAGTAAGTGACGGACCAGGTCTTCGGGGTAAATGTTAGGGCTGACTTGAGTCCCTTGACTCCACGTCAAGTTATGCTGGACAGGAACCAAGACCTCACCAGCTTCCATACTACTAGCCCCAGAAAGGAAAGTTATAAGGATGTCCAAATAAAGGTTCTGCGATTCTACATACCGTACATGGTGCACTTGCTTCAAGGAGTTCCGGGATTTACCAAACCCAGATGATGGCAGGGTATCGTGAATAGAGAACGTGTGGAAGGAACCACCTGATGTAGTTTTGGGAGTTACATTTTTGCCTTGAATGCAATCAGTCGATCCGGAGTGCGCACATATTTTGCAAATTGGTTTCTCCTCCCCGCATTTCAATTTTCGCTTCCTACAGTAGGATGATTTGTAAGAACCAAGGCCATGAAAGGACGGGGCGGATCGAAATTGGGATATTGGAACAACATACTTGCAATTGAGGCAACCATTTTTCGATCTAGGCGTTGCTTTTCTCGTACTCATTTCGGATTAAGACTAGTCGATCGAGGGAAATTCATCAAACGTTCCGTTGCAACATTCTGGTGTAGTTCCGCTCTTCGACGCGCAGCAATCTTGAGAATACTACTTGCCCCCTGGAAGCTAATAATAGAAATCGGGGTATTCTAGTGTTGCCTGTCGTGTCTCGGGATCTCGTCAGCACTAGATTTGACCATCAGTAAGCCTCAGATGGGGTATGATGTGCTGGGCATTGGGGGCGAAAAAGGTATTTTTCCAAGCCGAGACTTATATTATGTGCTGTGCCACACAATTAATCTCAAACAACTAATGCCTGCTGATTATAAAATCCTCATGTTTGCGTCATGTGTGCTGCTACGCCGTTACAGCACGATAAGAGGGTTGTTACTCTGGACACACCTAAGTTAGGATAATATATTATTCTTGTTGGTATAGAGATATCAGGGGTTATGGGATATCAAGGTAAAGAAATAAGTTACAGTATATTCAGTCAATTGTTGTCTAAATTCTAAGGAGTGGTGTTGTTCGAGTACTTATGGTACATGAAGAGGTGAGTCTTATCGTGTGACGTAAATAAAAGGGGATCGAATAGATCCCAACAATTCTAAAAGTGGCGTATAATTAAAATTATGATATGAATTATTTTGGATACCGGTAATTCTAATTAGCAGGTCTTGATTAAGCTAAGTGGTGTAGAACAATTAGTTTAATTGTCCTAGTCTTCTAGGAACTCGAGTAAAATAAGGTTTCAAATCTGGGTCCAGAGTAATAAACTGTATTCTTCGGAATTGCTTGATTTCATTCTAGCCAATCAGTATCGTCAATGCCAAGAATACAGTGGGAAGCGAGAACTTTAAGCAGAAAAGGGGTTGTGTCCCAGGCAAGTGAATTGATACAGAATCCCTCCTGTAGGTGGAATGAAATCCTGAATTTATAGCTCTTCATTGTTTGGCTTGATTGAAACGATAACCGGGGAACATCAGGACTCATAGATATGTAGGAGTTACTAGTTGCCGTTGTCGAGGAAAAGGAAGTCTTAGCAAGATAGGTCACAGTTTGTTTCTGGATGTAATTCCGGGTTCTTAGTTTTCGAGAAATTCAACACATGCATTCCAAAATCGATTTCGCAGTGGCCTGGAAAGTGCCTCAGCCTTACCCAGGCGAGTGGAAAATCAAGCAACTTATCCACTCAATATATTGACGGCTTTTTGAAGGACCGCATAAATTTTTCGCCTTGAACAGTGTAAGAGACTATTCTATTACTCTGGGCATACTTTAAGAAACTATTAAACTAGTATCCCTTATATAATTAACCTAATTGTCCTAATTACTTAGGTTAATAAAGATAACTTAATTATAATCATCCAAGATCGCTTAGGTAGCCATTTTAGATAGGAAACTATTAGAATAATGTTGTTCTAACCTAGGTATGCTTGGAGTAATAACCACATCTGTTACTCTATGCTATGAATATGAATATGATGAGAACGACCTACGAGATTATGCATGATCCAGGCCGGAATATTGGTAAGGTGTCTCTGGGATTTGCTACGTTAAAAAAATTTGACACGAAATCTTTGGTTCAATGTACGCTTGATAGTAATGAATACATGCCTCTTCTAGTGGCCATAGTGTAAAGGACATAGTACCTGGAGGAAACGGGGGATCATATCTCGTTGTCACCTATCCAAATTTTGCAGCACAAGTGTTGATACCAAAAGTGGCGACTGATAAAATTTCAATTGAGATTCGGGCTTGTATAACGTTATATTCGATATACTCGGTTATAATGAAAGCTATCTTTCTTTATTGCGCGAACTGCCACTAACGCTTCGGGCAGTAAAAGAATGCTACAATAGGTAAGTAGCCTACGGTAGAACAAAGAAACCCACTGTATAGTCAAACAAAGAAAACTAATTGTCACCTCATTAAATTATACAGCTTTTAGTTTTGGCTCCCAAATAGTAATCTCTAATGGCGATTTTGAAACCCTCGCAGCAAAATGTGTCAAACACTGACTCTCACAGACCACAATCCTTGCGGGTTAGTATGATCTTCTCTCTATTCTTGTATTTAGGGTTTCTATGTCGATATTCCGAAATATTAAAGCCCCCAACTAAGAATGAATTCGAAGCTAATCACTACATGGCAGGCACAAATCCGCAAAACACTTCCGATGCGATAACGTGTTTTGTACCTCCCCAAAAAACGAAATAAACGACACATACGAGAGAACCTCTCCACGTCCTTGCACTGATTGCCGCTCATCCCTATATTCTCCATTCCGGCGCCGACGCTACTCCAACGGTGTAAACATCACAGTAGGCTATACAGCTGCGACACTCTGTCTACGTCTAATATGCCTGATGAATTTTCTCGGTACGCTCTTATTCTTTACAGTACTTATATTGCATACATGGAATATTATTATATGGCCTTTAGCTGTGCATTCAAAAATCTTGTATCACGAGGAAATGGTTGGGCGAGGATCTTTTTGGAAGGCACCGTGGCATTCATTTGAGCAAGTTAGGTTACAGGCGCTGCTGGACAGTCATTTCTACAGGATGAGAATCCCGAATTGGATTACAAAGGCAAGGGTACAAAAAAGAGGAAAATGGAATTCGAATCCAGAGATATACTGGAGGTAATTCAATAGCAATAATCGGGATTAGGATCCTTGGATTACTTCGCCTGAAGCTCTTGGGAGAAGGAAAAGAATCTAGAATTGGGCCTAAGATTAGGTATTGTTGCAAGAAATAAGATATTGCTATATTGCAAACATCATCTTAATGTTGTTATTTTGGTCATTATGTACCTCATCTAACAACATACAAGTTCGTGGCCTTCACCTGATCCTACTTAACAAAGAAGATATTCGCCAGACAACTAGCAATTATTGATGCCACATATCTTACACTGATTCATAAATATAAACTCTACTGTTCCTGTAAAAGATTTTCGAATCGGGGCTTCGGACCTACCTCAGGAAGGCTTCTGAAGATCCCACAATATCAATTGTTCAGGCAAAGACCGAATGAAACCTCTTCCCAAACTAACTACCTGAGCCACAATTATACCTGGGCGGTTTGGCAATTCCGGATGGAGCAATCTTCACACGCATGTCAACTTGTAAATCTTGTTTTGGGGCTCGACAGAGAAACTAGATGGCTTAAATTTTTATCGTAAACCCTATCACTCCGAAAAATCTCTCGTTGTTCAGAGGTCATCTGCTTATCAAGCTGTACCATAGCACCAGTGCTCCCGGTTGCAACAATTCTCCGACTGGCTTTGGTACCCGATGCTGTTCCTTGCGTAATGCCGGTGATGCCGGTAATTGCACAGATGCATGCCTAGAAATATTGGGACATCTCCTCTGAATGCCGGTGCGAATTAGTATCTGAATGATTATTTAATCCGACCGTAGATCTCTCCACTGTATCCGACTGTGACAGTCTCGTGTAGTTTTAAAGATCGAAATATAGTTCTTGACGGGCTATGTTGAATTATCATCCTATATTTTAGCGTCATATCCCAGGTTTTTCTTGTACTATTATCAGCCATGAGAAATTACATTTTGCGGACCAATGCACTGCTTATGTTGAGTGGTACAGTAAGAGATGGCGGTTCGGCTTTTCCCCACCACAATTACATATTTCAAGTGGTTGAAACAATCTCAACTATGACTACACACTCATACTAGCTTCTTGGGGCTTTACGACCATGAATAGGTGTCGTGCGGTATTTCAGTGCAAGCATTTGATGTTTTTGTCACAGACAATAAGCCGCCAGCGCTAGCTTAAGCACTGCCACCGACCCGCAGCCTGCAGCAAAACTTGACTGGTGGAAAAATTCTGACTTCAGCTCGTTGAAGAAAAACTTCGCTTGCAACTTATAGCCGCATCGTGAGATTTCTCTTCGCAGAGGTGGTTGTAGTAGTAAGGTGAAATAGTGGATGTAATGAGGCACAGACGACTGCTTACACGGGAGGGGAACCACCTAAGATACGAGGAATGAGGTGATTTTACGCCAACATGTCATTCATCTCATAGCTACTGGTAGTAATCATATGAATTGATTGAAAAGCAATTTCCGAAGGCATGTCTATATCTATCTAGTGCTCGCTCGTGAATATTAAGAACCGAAAATTTCCAAGGTGCTCTCATCAACTTCAGTAAAACAAAGCGTATCAAACCTTACCAAAATGCAGTTCTCGGCCACTCAAATCTTAGCAGCTGCGCTCACACTGAGTGCCACTACTCTTGCTCAAATTACTGGGCCATTTTTCATCACCATTGTCCCAGAGGATGGAACTCCTTCATACCCAGCAACGGTAGCTACCGTCTCCCGTGGAGCCCAAATTCTCTCTTCGGCTTTAACCTACGACCAAGAGTTCTTGTTTAATGTGTAAGATGTTTCTTATATGTATAAACAACTTTCACTAATATACCTCCACCAGCACTTCTGCGCGCCTTTTCAAAGCGGATGAACCCACCAACGGGAGTGGACCGATGAATGCCGACGCACCCTACCTCTTCAATAATCCGGGAGGAGCTGGATCTCAGTTGGAACAAGTTACGGTCGATGGAAAGGTTTATCTAATCAAGGCTGGTACAGCATCGGGGGGGATATATGCATGGTGGAGCATCCCCACCCCTGAGGGGTTTGCGGTCAACGTCTTCTGGGAAGGTGCTGGATCCGAATTGGCCATTGCTGCTCTTAGAATCGATCTTGAAGTACCCAAGGCATAGAGAGTGGTCTGTTCAATTTATGGTAGATGATAAAAGAGGATGAATATTTAATGGATTTTGGGCTATTTCCGCGTCATTGGGTAGACAGGTTAGCAATTAGACAAACGACACTGAAATTCCTAATATTACGGAGTTGGTATATTTGCGTATTCTAGGTCTGTGAGGGTTATAAGTATCCTTTGAAAATTAGCATAATATCTTATACAGTAGCCCTGGATACGAGTTTCAGGGGTAGCGGATACACCTGTGAAATATTAAGCTCTCTTAATTCAAGTAAGGTAGGGGTACAGGGGTATGGGCATAGTAGCTATAGCAGTAGTAAATATAAACCTTTTATGATTTGCGACTTACGATTTACGATTATCTCGTTAGTTGTTTAAGGGTACTTTGGGGATGCCGCAAGAATGCCGTACTGGTAGACTGTCCCACTTAGAACTAAGTTCGATAGACAAAGGGTTAGTGGAAAAGCTCAAAGAAGTCCGAACTCCTGTTCACTACACTATCAGAAGCACAAAAGCATAGCTTCTTGTTACCAGTTTGGACAACAATGAACTAACAAAGGTTTTGATAGCAAAAAAACTACTACAAAAATTAGCTGGGGAAAGACAACCTACGATTCCGGGCTCCCAAACAGATCCAATATCGAGTATAAGAACCCCTTCCTCTTCTACCATAGTCGATCAGTTTCAAGTCACTTACACTTACTTTCACATCTATACTCAACACAAACTCAACACATAACCAACACATAACAAACCAACAAACCTTCGCAAAATGTCAACTCCGCAATATACTTTCGCTATCAGAAACCTCTCGGATTTCCAACGCGCACGTGCTATAAAGACGTCAGGCTTACTACACGTTCGCCCTAGGGAGCTAAGTCTGACCTTTTTTCCGGAGGTACATGACTACCTCGAAGCCCACTCACCTAGCACTGATGCTGCTCTTGATCCGTTCACGAGACAAGACCTCCAATATCTCCGTCATCTCATTGAGACCTTCAAGGCATCCCGCATCCCACGCACTGAACCGCTGCGCGTGATCCCAGGTGATGAGCCAGGCGTTTTCACGAACAATTATCCAATCAACGATTTTGAGGAGATGTGTGCAATTCGTTGTGCTTTTAGCCAACAAACACCTCCGGGAAGCCAATTTGATTTGTGGTTGGAACCTGGTTTTGAGGCAGAGTTGAGTTCCCGCGAACCTGCAAATGAGATTTTGGATGAGAGCCGTAGTAATAGTCAATAATTGAGGGGATTAGAATCAGAATACCTCAAGAAAATCTGGCTCTAGTAACCTGGTAACTTTTGGTATCATCTTCAATGAAGATCGGCAAGCAAGCCTTGCTCGAGCTTTGTACTCTTACCCACTTCTGAGTTGATCTCCCTTTGAATCTCACACCCCTTCCCCCTTCTCAACCCTCCCATTTTCAGTCCAATGTAATTCACTTCTCCAAATATTAGTAGCTGAACATTGTGAGATGCCCCGAAATTTTGACCTGTGACGAATCCAAATATACTGCCGTGTAGCCACTTGAAGTGTGCTTGTTCAACCGAAGTAGTTATGTATCCCAAAAGCTGTGATTCGTAAGCCTCACTCGAGACACAATTACAGCACGCTTCATTTACCTAGCTTGCCCTCAATTTTCCATCGTGTGATTATGGCAAATCACGTGACGTAGACCGTAGGAGGACCTGCCTGTGTTTAAGGATATACAGAAAGTTATAGCTTGTAGGTCCTCTCTGCTAAAAGAGAAAAAGAAATGTAAGTCAAAAGTCTACTGTCGTCAGAAGATAAAATGAAAAGAGTATATTTCTTCTGCGGAGCCTGGCACGTCAGAACCGCGCCGTGCATGATGCATGAAGCTTGACTTTACCTAAGATTCATCAAGTACGGAGTTCATCGCAATAGCCAACACTGTCATGTCCTCAGCACTCAGCCCACGCGAAGCCGTCGCAGACGCTCTCTATCGCTGTATCCTCGGCATTGACAGCAACGATCATGCCCTGTTCGAGTCAGCATGCTTGAAGGACGAGAGTATGGCTGTCGTCGCCGGTTCTATTACTATCGAGGGCTGGACCGCAATCAACGATTTCTTTCAAAAACTCTTTTCTCTAGTCACTACACATGCCACCAGTAACCCTCGTATTGAGCTGAAGGACGGCGCCGATACAGCTTTCATGACCTGCCACGCCTTCTCGTATCATATCCGGCCAGATGATGCATTTCTACCAGAGGACACTTCATATACGGCTTCGAGTCTGTACTCTTTAGATCTTGTTAGACACAGCGAGGATGGATTGTGGAGGACAAAGAAGTGGGTTATCAACACTTTGTGGACTACAGGTGATATAAAGATACTCCATGGATAAAGCTTAGAACGTCAGTTGCTACTTGAGACAGCGAAGAGAATGCCTAACTTAGAATTAGTAAGCGCAATATAGAAGGATAGAAATATCTGAGTGGTGCGGGAATCATACATTGGTTGCGGGTGAATTTTATTGTTGGTTCGATGATGTATAACTACCTGGCTAAGTTTCAGAAGACCAAAAGATTACCGTTACCTGAAGATAATAGTCAAAGCCTTTCTTGAAGAGGATGTGCTTTACGAGCAAATTATACCTCAATACTAAGCTGTGATGTGCTATGTGGAACTGAGCTGAGATATGTGACTTACTACATAGGTATGCCGTGGACCGATAGATTGACAACACAAACGGGCAAATAAACAGAGGGTACGTGGATTCTCACCAATTTAAATAACCAAATCATAAAGAGAAAACTCGAAAACTGCTGTCAGGAGGATGAATTGAGAAGGGGGTAAGAAGAAATGAAAAAGAAAGTAGAAGTAGCCGAAAACAACGAAGAGAGGAGTGAGAGGAAAAATGAGGAGGCTGGAAAAGATTAGAAGTTGATCTTGGATGGTGATTGATTGGTTAAATCTGACTGAAGATATGTTTCTCACACTTTAGCGAGTATTCGTGGTAGTAAATAGTGAGAGTAAGGGCTCAAGTATTTTTGGGAACAGCAGACAACGCTATTTACACAAGTTCTCACATCTGTTTAGTCAGCCTCGCAAATTAGTTGTTTACTGAGAAGTAAAAAGATTCTCCTTCTCTCTCCTTGTCTCTCTAGCGCTCATATACCCTTTTACACCCCCAGATCTATTTCCAAACTCAAGGAAGTTCCCCACAAACATAAACACCAACACACAGACAGCCGCAACTCCACTCAAACAACAACAAACGCATCCACACAGCCCAAAAGCGCATGAAATGCAACGACCTTAGCCACACGTTTGCAGAAGATATCGAGGTAGTGCTAACATTACCTTCTCGAGTGAAACCACCGCTTTAAAGAGCCAAACCAAGAGCAAATTAAGCGATGATGTTTTGAATACACTTATACCGTTACTTGACATGTCACATGAATTAGGACGAGCATATTGACTATTGCGATGAATGGCTGTCTCTGTAATGATATCCTAGATTTAAAAGGATTGAACTTCTCAATATCCATACCAGTAGAGATTACTAGGACCTTTGGGCTGCAAGTTACGTTCTAGGAAGAGAGTAATATCTCAAATGGCCAGAGTGAAGACAAGAAAGTGGTGCGTGATTATGTAATTTATGGTAGGATTTTGGGCGACTACAGAGGAAGATACGGGCTTGGGAAAGTCCCTCTGAGAAGATGTTCAGACGGCCGGATCAAACTTTGGCATGTAAACTTCAGAAGATGGGAGCAAGAATGGATGGAGAAAGTGAACCTGGAAGTTTATCTACAGGCTGTTTGCTGACTTATCCTTTAATTTCCTGAAGCAAGAGGTTAAATCAGGATTGGAGAAATATAATAAACACTTAAAATACAAGCGAAACACTACGAAACGTCCGAAGAACTATGCTACAAATGAACGAACAGTACGACCACCCAAAAACGAACGCCTCCAAGAAGTCTTAGGAGCCTTCTCGACCGATGCAGCGGCAGTAATGGCGTCCAAAGGAGCCTTCTCAATTGGAAAGCTCGTACATGCGGTGACAGAAGAAGTCCAACCAATTGACATCGCACTACCTGGCTGCAAGATGTCGAACTTTTGGCCACCAGCCATTGTGACTGTAACCGTGGCCATATACTTGCTCTTGAATTCTCCTCTAACGGCGGTACTCTTGCAGTAAATTGCCGATCTAGGACCCATGGTCCCTTTCTCGGTAATGGTGAATCCCGCGATCCCCTTTTCAGAACCCGTTTTGCTGGTCATGGCTTCGTAGGAATACGATGCGGTGGTGGTGACAAACGCTTGAGCTTTGCCGAGGAAAGGAATTTCGACTCCACCACCCACTGTGACACCAACGGAGAGACCGAATGCGTTCTTGTTTGATTGAGTAAGCTCCTTGCTTGTCTCCTGTTTGATCTCTTGTGCGAAGATGTATTCTTGTGTCTTGTTGTAATCGGGGTTGACAATCCAGCCATCGATCAAGTCGGCTTTTGGGTTCAGGCCACTGTAAACCATTAGTTTCAGTTCGTGGGTATTGATTAGAAAAAGCTCACGTCTTCTTCTTGTTCCAGTCATTGATGTCTTCGTCGAACTTGATTTTTGACACCACAGCACTCTGGGCAACGTTCCCCATAAACCGAAAGTCAATATTGTTGAGCCAAGCACCATTTGCACCTCTTACAGCCATCAAAATACCACTACCAACCGGGATATCAGACGGATCTCCACGAGTCTTCCCGTCTCCCTTTTCGAGCTTCTTCCCGCTCTTTGTCTCGACATAAATTTTGGCAATTCCGTTCTGATCATGGTTCTTCCACCATTGCATCTTCGTAATAGCATCACCCTCGTCCCAGAAAATACCAGCGTGGCGATCTCCATCGGCGGTAGCGATTCCATGGACATTGCCCTTGGTGCCGTCAGAGTAGGTGAATTGAAAACCCTTGATGTGCCATTTTGCTGCCCAGACTTCAATACCGGTGATGGTTATTCCATCCTCCCATTTGGTATCGCAGAAATTTCCGCCACCTTCGTCCTTACCAGCCAGATATGAAGCTGAGAATGGACCATGGTCGCAGTTGCCGGCAGATGCTACTCCAACAAGTGTTGCGAGGGCGGCAGCTGCCGCTACGATTCTTTCTCTGGAGTAGAACATGTTGCTATCAAATGTAAAGTATCGCCTCTGGTTTGAAATCCGTATATTAATCCCAAAAGCTCGACTTTTTAATCTTAAGAAATAAAATGAGGATAAAACTTGAGATGGGTAGAAGTGAATAGTAAAGACAGTGGAAAGCACCAAATGAATGTGAGTTGAAAAAGAAAAACAAGAATCAACAAATATGAGAATATGGAAATATGGAAATATTGAAACTGATAGAGATAGAAAAGATAAGATGCTTAGGTCTTGATTATATAGTGAGAATAGTTCCAAGCCCAACCGAATCCTCCACCCGCCCTAAGTGGCTATGCGGGCATGGCCAAGGCCTCCTATGCTCGTGAAATGAGAATGTTGGTTCAATGTTGGAGAACCTGCCTAGGTAGAAGATCATGAATCCTAGGCCAATTCATGTTACCCCATGGGAGGAGCTACTGCAACGGCACAGTCACTCAACACCTGCAGAGAATATCTAAATCCGGATCTGGTTCAAAACAAAGACCTTGCCGCAATTATCCCCAAAGAAATGTAACGTTGGAATTGAAGGAGTATGAGAAGCAAAGACTGGAAGAAAAGAAGACATTGCGGGTTGTCAAGTGTAATCTCGATCTCGCGAATCATTTGAACTCCTAGAAGTCCAAATAACATCGCCAAGGAAAGCAGAGAAGAAGAGGAACATTTATTCATCGTAAAAGCTGACAAGCCACGATTTTAGGACGATCACGCCAATAGAATGTAAATAGAAGCGAACGACGTAAAAGCTGATAGGACTTCAATCCTTCCAGGTTTCGGTTGATCCTACTGATCCTCCTCGGCCAGTGTACATATGCGCAATCTCCCCCAACATCGAGCAGCCCGGAGTCGATAACAAACTGGCAGAAATATGAGAATTTGTTTATATGTAAGGTAATGGCGTAGAAGATGGAGGAAGAGAATAATGTTGTTGGAGTTGGTAAAGATGGGGAGGACTTGACGTGAAATCATTCTCCTTGGCATGCTTCTTCAAGGTCCTCTCCGTTTTTAGTGATCCCGACTTCAACCAACCTAATTTATATTCCTTCTGATTTCTAGTGTTCAGCTCCATCATTTACGGCGATTCAGTTTGTTGATCTCTGTATGTCCTCACACTGCCCATTCTCCCATGAACTCACATGAGCCATACTGAGTCCAATCAATCACCCTTCCGCGATACCTAAACCCAATCTACTCCCCCTCTTGAAATTCTACAACGAAATTCGCTTTGATAACTCCTCAAGAAAGAGGAAGCAGGAAAGCTATAAGGAAACATCCCTTTCCTCCACCAATCCTCTGGATACTCTATCGCCCTCTTCAAATCCCCAACCACACGAGAGAATCCCGAAAGACATCGAAAATCCCGTCAACACGTCTCAAGAAGAACCTCACAAACATACATCCAGCATTTTCCCGATGACCTATCGGTTTGTAAGCCTACAACCCACCAAACATCTCAAGATTCCGTGCATCCAAGCCGAGAAACACAACTAAACAATGTAAATATCGTCTCTCTATCATCTTCCAGCCAGACAAGAACAAAATCCCCCCCAAGAAAGAAACCACAAATAATACGTCCCCATTTCTCAATCACACAAGGAAAGAGTGGTAAGATTACGCTACACCCCACCAACCAAGGCCATCCAACCCAGCAATCCACTTCAACAGTAATCCTTTACAGTTACAAGGATGTGATTTATCCTCCGGGTGCCATAGGCCATAGAGCAGAAGTGTTCGATGCTCATCATTTACTCCTTTATCCATCACTGCCCCAAGTTCAACGAAAATCCGTAAATATTCTCGAAGCCCGCAGCGTTCGAGAATATCAGTCTCGTCAACCTGTCAACTCTCTATCACGAGGAGGGTTCCAACAATCCGTAAGAAGACAGTTATTCCCCGCTAGATTTGTGGACTAGTGGTGCTAAAAACTACCTAGGTAGGCATGCCATGTTAATGCTATCATAGCATAATGCCACCGAAATGTTGTTTTGTTCATGCCTTCCTCCAATCCTGGGCAGAGTTTGGAAGTCGTTGTGTCCAGTGCCTATAGTTTTGCACCGAAAATCGAACGTGGAACACGCGCAACCCAAAGATCTGCTGGTGTCGTGGAAACAAGTAGACGAGGTGATCCCCGAGAGCATTTCGCGGTAACGCAGCTGTGAAGTCGACAGGCATACTTCTCCAGTTGAAGGATACCCAACGTAGGTTGGGAGGATAGACTTACGTGCACCACTGCCAGTCTGATCTCAATCTCCTCCAGTTGAGGGAGGTTGATAAGATCACGGCGCTTGAATGGACGAAAAAGAAAGAAGGAGTTACACTTGTGGAAAACGATTAGGTAAAAGAAGAAAACTAATATATTACAAAGTTACATCAGGTATATACAACAATAAAAACCAGCAAATCATGGCACAATACCATCCCTAGCACACGTAGATGCCATCCAAAAACGCGTCCAATTTGGATATATTGATGTGTGGCATCATATTGTCGTCAAAGTAGAGTTTTTTTACATGCGGGGTTGTGTCACTTACATGTATATAACCCGGTATGTTCCATGTACACCTCAGATATCCACGTGAAAATCCAATGATTATCTCAACGTCCTCAAGCCAGGAATTTTCCTTTTCACTCAGGCATTCGCAAGAAGAGGACACAGCATATTCCACTTCTCCTCATACATCTCATTCAAAATCCAACTCGCCAACCTTCCTCGATCCAGATTCAATCCATCCCGACCTTTACTGTCACCCACGAAAACAGCGTGAGCATCGCCCTTATTCCCGTCCAGTTTCGTCCCATGTAACAATGGCACCCGGAACATAGTCCAGTGGATTTTTTCACCCAGCGCAGCTGTCTCCTTGGCCATGCCGTTGATCTCGGCATATGAATCCCCTCCGATGATTTTGATGTACCAGTTGATGGCTATGTACCATTTGAAGCTACTGGTGTCTTCTGGGGCAGAGTAGGAAGCGGTGGAGAGGATCATGATCCGTTTGGTGGTGCCGTTTGCTAAGAGGAGGGGGTAGAGATTCTTGAGGCATTCGGTAATGGGCTAGATGGGAATTAGCGAGAGTTGGGAAGGAGGATATCGAGGAGATCCCACCGTTCCATCTTTTTTCCCTAGCGTTGGACCAGCTAGGGATAGGAATATATCGGCTCCGCATGCTGCCGCCTTCTTCAAGCCCTCGACATCTCCGAACTCGCCCTCAATAATGTTGAGATTGGCGTTTGCAGATAGTTCGGCGGGAATCTTGGAGGGTGTTCGGGCGTAGAGAGTGAGTTTATGGCCAGCGTCTAGAGCTGCCTGGGCGAAGATCAGACCGCAGACTCCAGTGCCTCCTATGAGGAGGATGTGATGTTTGTCATCCATCATTTGATCACAATCTGGAGGAGAGGCTATCACGAGGCCAGCAGTAAGTGTAGAGTGAGGAATGTGACGAGATTCCTATACTGACATGCGCCGGCAGTGATGGTTGTCGTTGAATGCGCCAGTACCGGTAGCTCGAGGGAGGCTTGGGTGTCGAGGGCCACCATGGTGAAAGTGGTCAAACGCAATATGTCTGGATGGGTATAAAGTGAATGTAGCAAGGATGTCTCGCTATTCACTCGTCATCTCAAGGTTTTCAGGAGGTTCTAGCTGAGGTGAGCCCAGGTCCAGCAGCGGAGCGCCAGCACCTGGCTCCAGCATGGATACCTACACACCTACGTGGTGCTACATACACCTCTCTTGTACTACTTCGAAGTAGTATGAGTAGTCTAGTCTAGTAGGTCTGCCGAGGTATGCGACGACCGGGCCGGGTACGGGAATCTTCAGCCGCCGCCGCTTGCGCTTATCTACAGCGAGTGCCAGGTGACGCTAAACCTTATCGCTCCCCTTGCGTCACCCGCATGTTTTTCGCAAGGAAATCTCAGCAACCAATCACCGCCAACCTGATTCAAGACAAGGCATTCACACACGACCCAGAGGACAGTGACGGCAGGTCCATGTGCAGATGAGAGAGGCTGAAGGGGCTTGAAGGCTTTTTTTTCTCTATTTCAACCTCTGCCATCGTCTCCTCCTTCAAAACGCCAGATCCAGCATCTTCGTCATGGCGTCTCTCCTGCCCGCCGCTGTTGGAGTCTTATCAAAGGACTTGTCGCTCCAGGAAGCCTTATCAGGCATCTTTGGGAGTGTTAGTTTGGCCACCTGGATGTTCTTGCTGGTGAGTACAGCTGCATGCGAAGCTGACATGAGGATATACTCAAACTCAAATCGATATCGGACGAAATGATACTGATCGCTGTTAGGTGCCGCAACTGATACTAAACTACAAAACTGGGAGCGCCGATGGCATATCTCTGGCCTTTTTGCTAGTATGGATGGTGGGAGATGTAACGAATCTGGCGGGTATGTATCTCTTCACAACATCTCTCGCTCCTCTCTGATACATCGGATCTCGATCTGGTCAAAGTACATCGATACCTTTTGGTCAAAACCCTTATCAACTCGTCATACCCAATACAAAGGAACCTCTTTTTATATCACGTGCTGACAGTGGCTAGGTGCTGCTTGGGCTGGACTTGTCCCAACGATGATCGCACTCGCAATATATTTCTGCATTGCAGATACTGTGCTGATTACACAGGTCTTATACTACCGAGCCAAGAATGCTCGCGAAAGAAAAGAATCCGTCGTGTCAATAGAGACCGAGGAAGAACCATTGCTGAGACGAAGAAGCAGTGACTCAACAGGCCTGCCGGGCTCCCACAGACGTCGCTTGTCGGCCGTCAGCACCAGTAGTCGTAGGAGCAATTCTCTCAAGGATATTTTAGATGAAGGTAGTCTGGAAGAGGGAAGTCTCTTCAGGAAGAACTTCTTCACTATTTTGGCGGTTGTTGCGGTTGGTGTGGTTGGTTGGGCTATCGCCTGGCAATCCGGTGTGTGGGTTCCTTCTCCCATTGAAGATGTTCCTGTGGTGACGGAAAGTTCTGCTGGAGCCAAAACTTTGGGGTATATCAGTGCTATGTGCTATCTTGGGTTCGTCTTGATATTCTCTGTCCAAGAATTCTCGCTAACCACTTTTTAGAGCTCGAATCCCTCAGATTATGAAGAACTACCGAGATAAGTCTTGCGAAGGTATGTAGTCCGTCATGATATTGCTTCACAATAGCTAATGAAACACAGGCCTCGCTTTACTTTTCTTCATCCTCGCCTTGATAGGAAATGCTACACAAGGTGCGAGTATTTTATTCCATTCGCTTGAAAAGGAGTATCTTTACACCAACCTCCCTTGGCTTATTGGGTCTCTTGGAACCATGATTGAAGATGCAACCATCTTTGTCCAATTCCGAATGTATTCGGTGAAGAAGACTACTACTGTCACCCAAGAATAGATTCTGGGGGCAGTTTTCATGGCGTTTGAAGAATAATGATGACGTACGGTGATGGGTATACAGCATGCAACGGAATCTGCCGGCGTTTTCTTTTAACTGAATGCAAACTACGAAGGTTGTACTTTTTTTCGGCTTGTATAGATAGGTTGCGCGAGGTTGGAAGACATATTTTTTGTCATGGCATTTAATGGGTCAGCATGGAAATGGAGTAAGTATTTCTGGGAATTAGCCAATGATATCAGCTCAACTGGATCTTGCTTTGTGTGGATTCTTGGGTTTTTGAGTGTCTTTCTATGTATTCCGCTCTTCAGGATTGATTGGAAAGTTCCAGTCATTGATGATGTTCAAGTAGTTCTAGCAAAATCACCTATGTCATCTTTTGCTCTCAACTGCCTCGCTCTCGACCATTGGGGAGTCGGATGATCCCCCGATACTCCGTACTTGAAGTGCAAGTACCCATATTCCGACCCGAGAACCGAGACAGGAAATCACCAACTATTCCCCGTTCGCGCGCTTGAAGCATCATATGTGCAGCGAACAAACGAAAGGAATTGAGTTCGACGGACACCAGACCCATCACAGGTGTTTTTGCAGTGTCCTCTCCAACAGAGATGCATGGTGGCCACGCGAAATGTGAGTGTTTGCTGCACACATCTGCAATACAGGTGGTACCTTGACGGTGTCGCCACGTATGATATTCGCGTAAGCACAAACAAACAAAGTCAATTAGCGGAAAAAGCACAGGTTCGAGTTCGAAGACGGTTCGCAGGTGGGGGAAGGTGTTGCAGATGTCCAATCTCGTGGATGGGGGCGATGATTCGCATTCATTAGTATGTAATTTGGATTGATTGGATTTGCATTAATCAATCTGTCGATGTTTCCCCGCCAGGACCTAATTTAGACCAGTCCCCAATCCACTAAGCGACCGCCAGCCAATCTGGGGCCAACGTGGATGGGCCGAGGGGCCGTTTTTAATTCCCTGGAGCTACTGCAAGCCCGCAAGCCCGCAAGCCTATCCATAATCCATCCATGATCCATCGATCCCGAGGAGCTGATGTTCGTCTCGACACGATCCAGTGCCAGAGGTCTTTCGTCGACGTGCTTGAACTCGTACATCGCGGTGTCGGCCAGAGTTGTTGTCGCCGTACATGTCGTCGTTGTTCGCTTCCTCTTCCGCTTTGCACTTGCCCCCTTCTCTCTGCGCTTTGTACCTTTCTCTCTCCTCTTAATCCGCTGCAGGTGAGCTGCCACAGCCGCCTTTTTCCCCGGACCAGCCTGACCCCTGGAACGCGTTCGCGACCCCGTTCAAATCCAATCCCCAAAATTATTGACAAAAATATCTCGCCCGCGCCGACCATCACCGCCAAAACACCACACTGTAATCATTCCACGCTCCTGCTTTTGTACGCCCGTCACTTCGCGAACGGGTAGGCTCGGTAGATCACGAAGAGACACAGTAGCAGACTAGAAGGTCTGCGCTGGTCTCGTTGGGGTAGGTGGACGCTCCGCCAATCCCAAAGCTGACGTTTATATTTCATAATTCGGACGAACTTATCTGAACCTTCGTCCCGAATTCATGGCAACGTCCACGTCCACTCCCACATCCACGGCCACTGCTAACCTGCGCCTTGCGATACCAGCAGATTCGCAGAAAACGTCGTCTTTGCATTTATCGCCTCCTCCTGCTGCGACGGCAGAGGACGGACCCCAAGACAGACACCTCAACCTGCCAGCACTGCGCCCAGCTCCAACCTTTACCCTCAGCAATTATTTTGGAGAGCGAGTCCAGACCCCTTCCCCCTCCCCCTCCCCTCGTTCGCGCTCGCCTGCTTTCTCAACCACATCTACAGCTGAAGGAGGGTCATCGCCATTAATTCCCCCGCTGCCTGCGCCGACATTCAACGGGCGCACGTTCGAAGCTCTCAACTCCACCCCGCCGTCCGTCTCACGCACTCACCGGAGCAACAGCAGTAGCCACAGTCAATACTATACCGCCAGTTGGGGATCCCCCTATCAGCGTCCTATCGGGACATCACACCGTGCCCGCTCCACCCACCGCCACAACTACAGTGGAAGTGAGAGATCAGAGGATTCTTCAGTTCGCCATCTCGAGTTTCACACTCCCTACTTGCGGCCCGCTCCCAACTTCCACAGGACTCGAACAGAGTCAGATTTTGTCTCACACGACGGCCTCATCAGCGCTGCCGTCCTTGCAAACAGAGCTCGAAGACCCGCGAGGGGATTGACAGAAGATTGGATACGCCAGCACACGGGAGGAGAAGCTGGAGAAAGTAATAACTGGCTTAGCGACGACGCTGGATACAGTGGGCACTCTTCATTGAGCGGATCCATCTCAGGAGGAGAGAATTGGCTAGCAGAGGACGTGGATCCCCAAACCCCGACTCTGAAGAGATTCTTGGAAATCAGAGAACAAAATCGCCGAGCACATCTCGCACACCACCGCACTCATAGTTCGGAAACCTTGACACAGGCCGATTATTCAGAACTCGGGCCCCCCAGCATGTCAGGAGAGATGGGCAACGTAGTGTCCTCCGGCGAAGAGGGCACAACCCCTAGGGACGAGAGGCCACCTCCATTGCCAGCAAAAGACGAACCAAGTATGGCCACATATCTGCAAGTCCCGACGGCACCATCCCCAGCACCGCAACCACCGCGATTAAAGAAGAAAGTGCCATGGAAAGGCAAAAACATCATGGTTTTGCTGCCATGGGATACTGAACGCGGTACAAATGGGAAGGCTCCTTCTCCCATGACGCCAAAACAGGTGGAAACTATGATACGACAATGGCAACAACTTGGATACGATACCACTGGCTTCAACCTGGGCTACGCCGAAAACTTGAACGGCGAGCAAGCAGCTCTGGGTCAGAGCTGCAACATCTGGCCACTTGCGACAGACGTAATGCAGGAGAGACAACAAAGATCCTTCAACGTTAACATACCGGATAGAAGAGGTAAGAAATCCCTTTTCATGAAGTTTTCTTGTAGAAGGTGAAGCATTCGTGAAATGTTCTTCGTAAGCCAGGAATTCAATTCTCCTTGCATGTGGAGCCTTTTGGTTTCATACCTCATATTTCCTTAGTAAGACGCGAGCTACCTTTAGCCGGATCTAGATTTTTATTTTTTTGGCGTCTGGTTTAAACACCAAGCCATATATTCCTCATTATCATACTAACACATCCACCCAGAATGGGATGCATATGTAGCTGGGCTGCAAGAGGCCAAGCTTCGAGCACTTGGTGTTTCTTTAGGAGACGAAGACCCCCCTCTACCACCACCTACCAAATCTAAATCCCCAGCAATATTGAGTAAAAGGAATTCCATGCAATACCCCGCTCTACCATTTTCACCGCCTCTACCTACATCATCAGCTTCAAGTAATTTGGGGCATCCTCAAAATCCGTTCTCTCCAGCTTTGATGGGTGGAAACGGACTTTCCACGACTCAGAGCTCGCACCCTGGTTCAATTGCTTCACCAGCTTCGATGCATGCGCATTTGCAAGGAAAATTCAACAACCCTAGACATCAATCAGTATCATTTAGTCCCGGAGAACATCCATTCGGATCACCTTTCCAGTACCCGCCAACCAGTTCTCCTGGAGTCTGGTCTTCCCAACAGTCCCTCTACCAGCAAGGACACTCACGTGGTGGTTCGCCATCTATGCACAATTTGGGATCAATCATGTCTCCAACCTCACCATTCGGACAGGATAGCTACTTTCCACCTGGTGATATGATGGGCCAAATGCAACAGCGACAACAATATTTGCAAAATCAACTCCATCATCAGCAACAAATACAACTAGGTACTAGGTCTTCTCCACGTCTGCAAGATTTGCGCGAAGATGACGAGATTCCAGAAGTCGAATCTAAGAGTCCATCTAAAACCCCCGAGGCACAACAGATCAAGCACAATCCTAGTGCTAGCTTGCAAAAGGAAATTGATGATGCAGAGTACCATCTGGAGGAGCAATTCCAGCGTCAACTCGAGCATGAGGATTACAGCCCCCACTCTGAGCACGCTGAGAAGGAGGCTCGATTTGCAGAAGAGCCAGTTCATGCTCGCAAGCCTTCAATCATTCAAGGAGGCATGGGGGCGTCAAGATATGCGATGAACGATAGCTCTGAGGAGGGTCCGATTTTGCATCATCCGCAGCCACATACTCGGGGTCACTCCCTTTCACAACAGCCATTTCAAGATAGCGCTGAGGACACATCTAGCGCGGCAGAATCCAAGCCACGCAATAGGGGTTCAAAGGTTGAGCTGTCCGATGTTGAGACGAATCCCAGTAACTTGGGAACTCCAATTCCAAGCAACATCACTTCTGCTAGTGGCCACAACAAATCGTTCTCGAACTCTAGCAACCCTTGGGCGGTTCCTGAACCTGTGGCAAAGGCAGTTGCCAAGCGACCTGGTCACGTCTCAAAACCTTCAATGCTCAATGTTGCTGCTAAGGAGTTTACCTTCAATCCTTCTAGCACCTTTTCACAAAACCAATTCTCTTTCGGTGGAAGTGGCTTCCAGCCTCAACCGGCGGCCGCCTTCAGTGCGTTCGCTGCACCAGCCCCACCAACATCAAATCATATGAGCCGCCAGTCTGTTAGCCAAATCAATGCGACAGCACCACCATTCAACCCAGGGAAAAGTGAATTCAGTTTCTCGGCCTCTGGGCCAATTTTCAGACCGGACGTCCCTGCTTTCACACCGACAGCAAGCAATTTCCCTTCGGACTCGATGGGAAGTGGTAGTGAGGGCCACAAGGGCTCAATCTTTGGGAACATTGATCTGAGTGCACTTGGAATCAAGAAGCAACCAAAGAAATCTAAAGCCATCCCAATTATTCGCCCTGACAGCAATCATTCTGACGATCAGGAAGAGGAGGTCGAGGGCAAAGATGGTCGTATTGATAGAAGTGAGCTTCGTAACAAGAGAGCCAAAGGTGGTAACGATGATGGTGACTCGGTACCATTATTTGCTGAGCCCAGCATGCCATTGGGCGAGACTTTACGTGAACAATCACCACCTAAGGAATCTCCAATGCCTATGGACAAACCAGCCGATAAAGAGAACTCGGCACCGGCTGATGATTCACTGGTCTCGCCTATTACCCCTGCCAAGAGCTCGGATCAAGGTAGTGAAGACGCTGCACCATTTGAATTTCATGAGCAGAAGCAGGCCGAAGAATTCAATCCTGCAAGCCCATTCACTTCTCGTCGGTATGGCTCCGGTCTTCCAGCATATGGATACCACGCGCATTCCGAAGATGATGAAGTTTCTCCCGTAGATGAAGAAGATGACATGGAGGAAGAGGAACCACCACAATCTCTTTCCAAGGGACACAAAAAGAGCAACTCTTCCTTATCTGCAACTGCCAAACCCTTCGAGTTTAGACCGGGCGCGTTTAACTTTACGTTTGGGCAGCCTGCACAAACCGCGACTGCATTGGTCACCCCGCCAAGTCTTCCTCCTATGGGTCTGTCCGGGTCAAAATGGGCAAAGAGTCCAACGCCTCCCGTGTCTACCGGTTCCATGAACGATGATTTGGCCGATGACCATCTGGACTCGCCAGAACGCACTGACTTCCAGGCCGCACTACCCCCTGAGAGTCCTCCAAACTACTCCGGTAACACGTTTGAAGAGATTGATGAGGTAATGCGCCATCTAAATGAAGCAGATAACGCTTCTGCTCCAATCCAGAGTTCTCCAACATGGCCACAGCTCAGCCCAACAAGAGGAATCCAAATGCCCATGGTGGATTCGTCGCCATTACGCCTACAGCCAAACAATGTGATGCGCAGTGATGCACCAAGCCCAAGTCCCGGCAGATACATGACGCAAACCGGTCCCAATCAGGCCTATTCTCATGATCCATTTTTGGATGACAGCATGCAAACAAACTTGCCGTTCGTATCGCCCTCTCCTATTCATCGCCTCAACAGAAGAGATAGTGCTGCCGCGAGTGACTGGAACGATGTTCTCAGTGAGTCCGAAGAAGCTAAGCTGCAACCTCGTGCACGCTTCTTTGACAGTCATGTCAATGACCTAGTCGGAGGGCTTTTGGCAGAGCGGTTGGATCCCATGGAGAGAACTCTTGAAGGTATTCAAATCTCCTTGGAGATGATGGCGGCCCGTGCCCCGTCAGATCGCCGTGACCGAAGAAGCGTTTCTGGTGCTCTTAGTGATGCAGACGATGAAGATGATGATAATCCACGACGATCACATAGCCCAAGAAGAGACAAGAAGTTGGAGAAGATGAGAGGTATCGTTCTTGATGCTTTAAACACTCACCAGTCTTCAAGACCGGCCACCGCAACACAACAGCTTGATCCTCGCAATATCCTTCATATCTTGGAAGAGATGAAGGAACAATTTGGCCAATCTATGCGATTGGATCTACGCGGGGAGGATCTTCGTAATGTTGTTGAAGAAGTCCTTGAGAGACATATGCCAGCAGCACCAGTTCGGGATGATGCGGCTATTGTCAGAGAGTCCGAACAACGCGCAAGAATTGCCAGTCTTGAGGAGCAATTGAAAGCCGTTGGGTCGAAGCCAGTTTTCGATGAAGCTGCCATCACTCGGGACGCGGAGCAGAAGGCCAGAATCACCCACCTTGAGGAGCAACTGCGCGTTGCAGAATCCAAGCCACTCTTTGATGCCGCGGCAGCACAACGAGAGACTGATCAAAAGGCCAGAATCTCAGAACTAGAGGACAGACTTCGTGGTTCGGTGAACAATGCTGAAAATGAGATCGCAAGCCGACGAGCAGCGGAAGATCGTCTGGCTGAGGTTCAAAGACTTCTCAGAATCTCCTCCGAGGAAGAGGTTCGTCTCCGTGAGGCCATGGACGAGCGCGAAATCAAGATTCGCCAAATTGTGGAGGAAAGAGACCAGAAGGTAAGAAGCGTTGAAGACGCCAGAGCCAAGACTACGATGAGAATTGCCCTTCTCGAGGCCGGCCAAAGTAATGCCCAGAAGGCACAATTGGACCTTCAAACTCGCATTAATATCACCGAGAGCGAATTACAGCAATCTCGACAGGAATCTCAACACTGGAAATTTGAGGCCGAACGCGCCGTGGAGGCCGCTAGACGACACAACGAGGATGCCGAGCAGGCCAACGAGACCAACAAGGACTTGAGACGGACCATCGATAGCCTAAGGACTCAGATGGAGGAAAGTATCCGAGTCCGAGAAAGCATGAGAGGAAAATTAATAGCTTTGCAGGAGGATATCAGCCGTGCTGCCCGCGACATCTCCGAAGAAAACTCCAAACGCGCCAAAAAGGAACAGGAACTCATTGCCCGACAGGAGGTACTCGACGCCAAACTCCAGGCTGAAGCTCGCACCCGGGAACGATTGGAACTGGAAATCGAGCGCTTGGAAGGTGGTGAACGGGAGGGCATGAGAGCTGTCAATGATCTCAAGAAATTGGAGATCGTGGTTGCTGAGCTCCGTGAGGAGAGCCACATTGCTCAGAAGGAGGCTATGCGTTATCAACGAGAGTTTGAAGAGGCTCGGGAATCGGGAATGAGCGAGGTTCAGAGAACCAGGCATTACATGCAAGCCGAAATCGAATCTGCTAACAACCAGGTCAATGTTGTTCGAGAGGATCTGGAGAATCAAGTCTTGAGGCTGCGTGCGGAGATTGATCAAGTCAGATTGGATGCAGATACGACCAAGGAAAAGCATGAGATGTTGCTTGAGGAAGCCAACAATACAAAGGCTGCAGCTATCAATGATCTCATTCAAAAACACTCAGACACTCTCGAGGACCTTCACGCCCAACATGAACGGCAACTTGGAAATGCCATCGAAGATGCTCAACGTTCGGAACAGCATTTGCTTGAACGCTTGTCATTGTCAGGAGCCAAGACGGAGCATCTCCAAGATCGTGTTCAGCACTTGGAAGAAAAACTGGAGATTGCCAACCAAGCAGCAAAAGCCGCGGTGAAGGCCGCTCGTTCCGCGGGTGTACCTGCATCCGCGGCCCCAAGTGCTTCCGCGAGAAACACACACGAACCCGGCTCAAAAAGCATGCACTTGCCCGAGAAGATCTCACCACAAGCCTTGCGAGAGTCTATCATGGTTCTTCAAGAGCAGCTTCAAGACCGAGAGCAGAAGATTGAGAAGCTCGAGTCTGCTCTGTCCAATGTCGACCCAGATGCCGCGACCAAGATCACCAAGCGTGATGACGAAATCATGTGGCTCCGAGAGCTCCTATCTGTTCGCAAGGGTGACCTACAGGATATCGTCGCCACGCTCTCTACCGACCAGTACGACCCTGAGCAGATCAAGGATGCTGCCATTCGTTTGAGCGCAAATCTCCAGATGGAAGAACAAGAACGCGAGCGTGCCATGAATGGAGGCTCAGCCATCAAACTCCCTAATATCGCAGCCAGTCTTCGAGATGCAGCAACTCCAAGGGTAGCCCAGGCTGTTGGTCCAATAGCCGCAGCCTGGGGCAATTGGCGAAAGTCCAGAGACCCTACTGCGCAGCACCAACGAAGTGGTTCCTCAACACCTACTTTGAGAAACAATAGTTCCAGTAACCAGGGTTTCCTCTCTGGTCTCATGACCCCGCCTTCCGCCGTAGCTGCCCGTCAAGACCTAAGCAACGGTATTGGATCCTCTAGACAATCACAGCCCACAGCTTTTGGTAGTACAGGTCAACGCTTCACCAACGCACAACTTGCCAACCGATCACGGGGGATGAGTTCTCATTCCCGAGTTGTAGATAATTATGGCGGTCCCTCCGAGACGAGAAGTAGTCCACGGAAGGAAATGGGTATGGGCATTCGCGACGCCAGGGCGTTTCAACCCACTCAGCCGAGTACACCGCCGATGATGAGGAAGAGCAGTTATGATGCTGATGCCCGACCGGCGGAGGATTTCAGTGACGCGGGGTTCTATGATGATGATGAGAGTGAGAATACGGGGGACGGGAGTCTTTATAGTTTGTCTAGACGATAGATGGATGTAGAAGGGAGTGTAAAAAGGGATTTCTTTTTGTTTAATGTAATGAGAATGTGGGTAGATTGAGTGTGTTGGATAATGAGAAGGGATTTGAAGAAGTGGATATAGGAATGCCAAGTGTGGAAGGATGAAGAACGTTATTATAGATTGGATCTTTGAGATTTCCTTTTCTTGGCTTTTTTTTACTTTTTTACTTTTTTTATTTTGATACCCGTTGTCTTGTTTTGGCTTTTTGCTACTGGTAGTTTTTGGATACTGCCTACTCACACTCCTTTTACTTTTCCTTTGTTTGGTGTTTTTGTGTGTGTGTATGTGTGTTTTTGTGTACCTACTTATTTTGGGGGAATCGTGGGGTTTATGTGTATGTAGGGAACTATTGTTGGTAATTACCTCTAATATTTGAATTATTTGGAATAGAGATTTACAGCTTGTGCCACAGGGTTCTCGTGAAGCACGTACTTGGATTGTGTGGCTTTTGAAGGAGTGTGGGTCGGGATTTTTGGATGGGCGTGGG